CTAAATCTTATAAAGTTTGTATCTGTCTTGTGTGAAACTTGTATGAAAAGCATACAAGAATTAAAACAGATATAAGATCCCTTGAAAAATTATATAAATGAAACTTCTATGTTTTGGATACTTCCTAAAACAATATATGAAAGTAATGAGAAAGTGGCCACTTTCATGAGTAAATCATGTAAGCCTTATATGATTCACTATATGAAGTAGGCCACATCTTATGCAAAGTTTTTTCTATTTCTTTTCTATATGGGATATTACACACAGATATTTAATCATGGATCTGGCAGGTTACCTGTAGATGATCCCACTCAAACTGATCACCATGACTACTGATGTTCTAACAAGTGGGTCTCTCAAGTCTTTCTATCATTATCATTCGATACTGGTGTATCCACCGTAAAGGGCATCCATGTGGGTGCTCGTCACACGTGGTGTGTCGCTAACATATACGCCACGCCATCGTATATCAACAGGATCCCAGGATACGCTCAGTGAAACTAAAAACAAGCTGAGCTCAATACCTGCCTATTTTTCTTTGCATTTTCATCACTTGAAAGTCATTAATGTTCCACAGGGTGTGGTTTCCACATCACAGCAGTCTGCATCCTATGTGGACAATTAGGAAGGGCTGCACGATTACAGCCAACACAGTTCAACATTGAGATCATAATAATTTGTCACAACTTTTCATTGACTGCAGTGACAACATGTTTTTATTTCAATATAAACACAACAGTGCTTTTACATCTGTACTTTATATAGAAACACTATATTTCCAAAATTATTCACCCACACATTATATTCCAAGTGCAAAACTAACCCGGAGACTATCCACCACATAGTAGCAAGAACTAAGATGGAGGCTGAAGCAGCATACACTCAGAAGCACATCCAAGCGACTGTCAAACTCCTGATTTATGGTAAGGTTGGGGTCATCACTGATGAAGTCGTCTCCTCATGGGATTAAAAGAGAAATTTGTTTTAAAAAAACAAAGGGCATCCATATGGATAGACACTTTCAGCGATTGCCCAACACTGAATAGCACGGAAACTGAGCAAAATTAGAAAACTGTGGCACTAAGTGGGCAGGCTCACAGCTAAATTTAGCAAGTAAACTATGCAAACAGAGCCTGGAATGTCAACTAGCAACCAACTACATTGACATAGTTAAAGGCCATGTCATACATAAGGAATTTCCGTTTGGATTTAGTTTCAGGTTTCATTTTCATTCATAAAATTCTGTCTCAACATGTACCTTTGGTGGTTAGGGAAAAATTTAACTGAAAAAATTGAAAAATAAAAGTACAAAGGAAGGAGGTATTTCTTGTAGTGCTCTTTGGTACATTGCAGTGGAATGAGTGGTTTGCTGAACCTGCTTCTGCGTGAGATGAGGCATGTGTGACGGAGATTCAAGCTCCAAACCAATACATAACCTCACTGACTTATAAATCACTTTCTTTAGTCTTTTAGTATTTGATGCCCCTGTGCACCCCACCATAGAGCACAGCACTGAACCCCAGGCACATAAAAGTCCTGTTTATTGTCATACATCTGTACGTCTGTATTGTATGAGTGATTTTGTTCTCCTGATGTTCACAAACAAGTTTTCCTGTTATTTCTAGTAATTTGATTTTTAAAAATGTATATGGTGCTGAATTAATTGAATCCCTAATTTTAAAAATTGTTTAAAAGTCTTCTCATTAAAAGTCCTTTCATGGTGATTTTCCCACTGAGGAAAGGCCAAAACTTCTTTGCGGAGGGCACCAAATTTGTTTGTATGCAAACAAAATTAAAGTACATTTTACTGCTTTCAGTAAAATTCAACTTTTATTTTCTGTCTCCTGCTGCTGGCTTGAATGCCCCATATTTGGAGTGTAGACACTTTTATTAAGTCTTCATTACATGGATGACGTTATTACCGGTCATGGCTGACCATAAACTTAAAGGTTACAGTGGTGGTCAGACCAGTTCCTGTACATTCTTGTGGGGCTGGCGTGCAGCTCATTTGTCAGTCAAATATTTTTGGTTGTGCTTATAATCCTTTTCCAGCTGAGTCTAAACATAGTAAACGCCCAAACAGGGCACCTAAGATCTAATTCATTTGCAAACAGAAATGGAAATCATCATAACAGAAGACCAAAAGTACAATTTTGAAGCCATAAAGGTCTTAAATATGAACTGTGTGGCACCCATCAGTATAAATGCAGACTTTATAAATGACTTTTAAAATAATGTTCAGCTTTAAAAACAGCAAGCTGCTGTAGTGAACTATTTACCTTGTAGTGTTCACTCTTTAACTTTAGTTAAACAGTTGATTAAAAGTGTGAATAGCCTTTGGAACTAAAGGGTCTTCGGTCAATATTATTTGTATGCTCTGTTTACACACTACATAGCAGATCTATATGAGTGAGACAGACTACAAAAAACTCAGATTATTATTACTCAGTAGTAATAATAACTTGGATGCTCATATATGTGCTTTGTTCACAACAGACACTGTTATAAATTAGTGATGCACCAACCCTGTTGGTCATTTGATACCTCAACTCAGGATATCTGCCAATAAAACCATGTTCCAGAGCAATCTTTCTTTATCCTTTATTTATAGTGTTTTTAAAAAAGGCAAAATGCCACAAAACCAATCTCCAAAACCTCACAACACTTTAGTAATCTGAATGATTCCTATAAAAGCCATGGATTACTGTTGGCTGCTACTGGCCTATTAGTCACACATAGCTAACAATAATCAACTGGCAATAACAATGATGTGTGTGTGTGTGTGTGTGTGTGTGTGTGTGTGTGTGTGTGTGTGTGTGTGTGTGTGTGTGTGTGTGGGTGTGTGTGAATGTGTAAAAATATTACTAGTATTATAAATCAGTAATGTCATACCTGATACTCAATGGGACATTAATAGGATTGTGTAAATACATATAGTGCATGAAGCTGAACTCGGATTAAAGTAAAGTGAAACAGGTGGCAGCTCTGGCAATAACCTTCTTCAAATACAATAAAGGTATAGATGGCCAGTTACTATTACTGTGGTTGGTTTGTGATTGTCTCCAAGGTATGTGTATTATACATAAACACTGATAACAATTCCAAAGAGCCCTCATTTCTCCCCAGAAATGTTACTTTGGTGAGCTCTGGGCTCTCACTCAAGTCAGAACTCACTGTAAAATCAGGTCACTTACACAAACACGAAGAACAATTAAAATTACAGGCAGGAGTGACTAAAATGCCCACTCTCCACCTGAGTCCAACTTCTATTAACCTAAAAACACAGTTTGGTCTTATAACACTCAAAAAGGCCACACTTCATTCATATGTAAATGTAACAATGTAGCAACTATAGAAACTCGGAAAATGCCACCAACATCATTATATGTTGGCAGGTGACGGATAACAGTACAGCTACTGAATCTCTGAATAGTCTGTTTGACTCTTTATGTTTTATACATCTTTCTGGCATATTTTTCTAACACATATACAGACTATTTCCGAAAGTTATTCATTGTGAGTGCTACTGAAGCCTGGACAATAGGGGCTCTGAGATACAGTATTCAATAAAAACAGAAAGTCCACAGAGCAACCAACCAGTGTCACCACTTTATTTCACCGAAGAGCCGAAAGTTGGTAACGGCTGGCTGGCAGTATTACTCACCGCCTCTTAAGCCTAGCAGCCGGCAGATATCTCTGGTGAACTTCATCAGCTTTTACCGTCCACACATTAGCGGGCCTCACTCGGCATTAAATCCCAGCTGTCCCTCTGTACACAGTCACACACTTCCACCCTTCATTAAGCGCCGACAGCTCGCCGGTGCCAGTACCGGCTCATATGAAACATTCCCCGCTGATCCGCCTCCGATTGTACGGTCATCAAGTTAACTGGATTACAGCAAAACACTTTTCCGGTTATTGCTTTCAACAATAAAATAGGAAAAACGGCTTCCTTTCCACACCCATCAAAATAAAACCGCGGAAGCGTTAACGTCGGTCTTTTCATAATTTTCCCAAAGGCTTGACATCAAACTGCGAGATTTACACGTTGAAAAGAATAGAAAACAATATAATATTTAAAGATCAATAAATTGTACAACTACAATTATTTTTTTGTGGGTTTTATTTAATGTTTTGTCAATAATTTTGTTTTACTTGCATTTTAGATTCATTTATTTCATTCTGTTAACTGTTCCAGCATTTAACTATAATTCCCTATGAGGGTTTAATTCTGAATAAACTATCCTTTTTTTTTTTACATGTATTCACTTCAACTGAAGATTAATTGAAGATTAAAAATATTAAATCCTGTAGTAAAGCCATCAACAGGGGATATGAAAGGAGCATATACAAATGACATAGTGATTCACATCAAATGCCTCTCAACACATTTTCTACTGTATCATAAGCACCAAATTTTGCTTATAAGACAGCAAATTTAAATATGTACTCATTTGGTTTTCTTTCTTCTTTTTAAATGAAGTTTAAGCTGTTTGAAGCCCAGTAAAAACAATGTTTTTTTTTCCAAACTTTATTTGAAATTATAAAGTGAACAGTCAGTCATTCCAGTTCAGTTTGTAAAAAAAACAATGTATTTGAGGGTTTACTTGAGCAGATGTGAAATGTAACAGTGAGGTCAGAGGTCAAATGTGACATGATATTTGGATGTTTAGAATACCAGTACCATTTACTAAAAGGAAGTATACAATAAGAAGCTGTAGCAGAAAAACAAATATGGAAACTTAACTTATTAGAAATTTTTATATTTGGTTATGGTTTAATTAATTAATTAAATATATAGATTTCTGCTGAAAGCATGGTGTGTGATGTGGTGATGGTGAGGGGGTCTGCACTTGCCTCTAATCTGCTGGCATATACATCCGTCCAATCCCCCCGTTCTGTAATGCTGAAAGACAGCAGGCTGAACCAATAAAACGTCGCTTTAGCAGAGCTTTCAACCAATCATCGACAGCAGCGACTGATTTGGGCGGGTCCCTAACAGAAGCGACAGACTGGCTCAGCGGCCATTGAAGCATCTTTATCTTCAAAAGGACAAGCAGAGATTTTTTTGTACATCTGCGGGGTCCTGCGGACTGAAGCCATGGTCTATCATTCTCTCGCCCTGCCGATGATCTGCTTCACCACGTTATGGGCGTTGGTGGGGGTCGTAGCTCCGTTTTTAGTGCCCAAAGGACCCAATCGGGGGTAGGTGGTGTAACTGCTTTTAATTGGATACAATTAACGACATCATTTTGCGTTCCCTTTCATTTGACAGTGTTATTATTATACTTTGTAACTATAATTGTATTTTCCTTGCTGTTAGTGTTTTCGCTGTGTCGGTCGGAAAGAATCTTTAGACATATGCGACGCGCGCGAGCGTGCTCCTGATCCTCTTCTGGTGATGGAGGCCCAGCGTCATCCACGAAACAGTCATTCAGCTATCCCTCCATCCAAACACACACACACACACACACACACACACTACCAGTAATTTCAAAGGTCGAGTCGGCTCGTTTGGACAAAAGTCATTCTGATGGTTTTATTTGTGAAAAGCAGAGTACGGGGAAGATTGTAAGTCGTGGAGTCAGGGCCAGTCTCCTTGAAAAACTGTGTGATTACAATATTTCTATCGTTTGTGCATTAATGTCCAGTATTGCTCAGTATGTGACTAGGGATCTAATTTTAATAATGTTTGCTTATGAATGTTATAATAGTAAAAGTGGGCACGTGTGACTCTGACTCCTCTGCTCTCTCTGACAGTGTGATTGTCACCAGTCTGATCCTTACAGCGATCTGTTGCTACTTGTTGTAAGTACCTACTTGCTTACTCTTCTTTGGTATGTAGCTGTTGTCATTTTGCATGTTGGCCACTTTGTTAAGTACACCTGCTCAAGGGCTCATTAATGCAGGGATCTAATTATCCAATCACATTCGAGCGACTTAAAGAATTTAGGTATGTAGACTCCTTGCTGAAGTTCAAACTGATCATTAGAATAGATAAGAAAGGTGATTGAAATATGACTTTGAATGGGGAATGGCTGTTGGTGCCAAGCAATGGTGATCCAGTGAGCTGCAGTAACCTGGGCTAAAATGCCTTGTTGATGCCAGAGATGAGAGGAGAATGGCCAGACTGCTTTGAGCTGATAGGAAGGCGACAGTAACTCAAATAACCACTTGTTACAACTGAGGTGTGCAGAAGCATCTCTTAGCATACAACACTTTGAAGCTTCAAGCCGATGGATTACAGCAGCAGAAGACCACACCGTTACCACTCCTGCTCTTTTATTTAGCACAAACTCACAAAACATTTTCAAAGGAAGACTGTAAAAACAATGTCTGGTCTAATGAGTCTTAGATTCTGTTGCAACCTTTGGTTGGTCTGGTCAGAATTTGGCATAAAGAACATGAAAGCATGGATCCACCATGCCTTGTGTCCCCAGTTCAAGTTAGCTGTCGTGTAATGATTTGGGGAAATGGCTTCTGCTACACGCTGGAGCTCAAATCGTCTCAAACTCTTGAACATGGCAGTGAGTTGACTGAACTCCAAAGGCCTCCACAGTCACCAGATATTAATCCAATAGAGCACCTTTGAGATTTGGAGAGCGAAAGATAGAGATTGTTAGTGAGGTGTAACTAATAAAGGGTCTGATGTTCAACTGTTTGCATGAAGCTAAAATTTGGTTATCACATAATTTTCTTACATTGAACGAGAATAAGACCGAAATCATAGTCTTTGGTAGTCACACTCCGCTAGACCAGTTAGCTGATGCCCTAGGCCCTCTCGCTAGCCATCTCTCGCTCACTGTAAGGAACCTTGGAGTGTTCCTGGATGGCTCTTTTAAACTTGAGAAACAGGTGTCCACTGTGGTAAAAAACAGCTTTTGCCAGTTGCGTCACATATCTAAAGCAAAGCCGTTCCTTCCTTTAAAGGATCTTGAAAAGCTTATCCACACATTTATCACATCCAGATTGGACTACTGTAACTCCCTCTACTCGGGCCTCCAACACTCTTCTCTTTACCGGCTTCAGTTAATTCAAAATGCAGCTGCGCGTCTTTTAACAGGTACGAGAATCTATGAATGCATAACTCCAATTTTAGCCAAATTACATTGGCTCCCTGTTAAATATCGCATAGATTTTAAAATTCTTTTGTTCACTTTTAAAATTCTGAATAATTTAGCGCCCACCTATCTCTCTGAACTACTCCTCTTATATAATCCCAACAGAGCACTTAGATCATCCAATCACAGGCTCCTAGCACAACCTAGGTTTCGAATGAAGTCGAGAGGTGACCGGGTCTTTGCAACCGTGGCACCCAGACTCTGGAATAACCTCCCTGTTCATATTCGTACTGCAGAGTCTATCCAGTCTTTTAAATCACGTCTTAAAACGTATCTTTTTACTTCGGCCTTTGATTCTAACTAGTTGGCTGTTTTAGCTTATTGTGTTGTTACCTATTGTTTGTTGTCCTGTTTTATTGTTTGTTTTAATTGTCTCATGTTTTTACTGACTGTGAAGCACTATGGTCAACACTGTTGTTTTAATATGTGCTATATAAATGTATTTTGATTTGATTTGTATTTGCCACAGGCTTACTAGCAAATTGAGAATTTTTAGAGGCACAGAGGGGACAGGGTCTTTTTACCTGGCTCTATCTCCAAGGGTAAATTTTTGCCAAATACATGACATAAGTTACCATTGGTTTCATAAGAATATGAAACCATGTTATTTATTTTTTTATTTTTAAATTTTTTTTTACTGTAAATAAAATGTTTTTTGTGGCTGTAGCATTTTAGTGACCAACATATGAAGTATGAAAATAAACATCAGTGTTTCCTCACACACAGACCAGGTCAGTGACCTGCCCAGGAATGTTGACTGCTGTGGAAATATATTTGGTGACTCACGTTAGGATTTTTTTTTACAATTTATCTGACAGAACAACACTAGCAGGCAGTCCCCTTGCTCTTATTTTGAAAGTTCAGTCACTGCTTACCATTGAGGTCTGGCCCTTCCTGTGTGTTGTTTGTGTGCCCGTTGAACTCTTGCCAGGCTGATATTGAGCCAGTCCTCAGTGTCATTCAGCTGCTTGCCCACTGATGATCTCACTCCCACAGTCACCCACACTCCAACATCTGGGACTGCAGCTGCACACGTAACTCTTGCTCTACTCTTTAAAATCTGCTCTGTGCTGGAGAGTCACTGTAGTCAGAACCTGCAGCAGGTCATGTGGTGGAAACTCGTGCGTGCTGATACACATGAAGCGAGAAGATCTACAGCTACGTTTTAAAAAGCAACAGTGATGAATAGGTTGTTAATTAAGCAATAATGTTCGTCATAGTTTTCTTCTACAAAAACAAGATGATAATGCATGAGGACAAAAACTCTGATGAAATGTATTGACACTTTTTTTCAATAAACAAGGTGAAAATGGAGATGAGACCCAGATAGAACCAGTTAAGTTGTGTAGAAAGGCGAGCCAAGTTTGGAAGTGGTCGCCTTGTGCAGTAAGGATAGACGTGCTGTTTGATGTCAAGGAAAATAAGACGCTTTGTAAACCTTGTGGATCAACTCTCACCAATAAAAACACTTTTACTCAACTGAATCAACTAAAATCCAACTTTTAACTCGTTATTTCTATCAGCTAACAGCTCCATGCTGCTTTCATGGGAGGCGAGGGAAATCAAGGAAAATGGATGCTCTCTGCCTTTCTTTCTCTCAAAAGCATTAATTATGCCCAATGGGACATCTGTTTTACATTTTACAAGGAGGATACTTCTGCATTGGGTTAACAACATCCCGTGTGTGCTGGAGGCCCTAGAAGTCAAGTTACACACTGATAACAAACCCTGTAAAACATCTGCCACCTGACGAGCTGAGTCACAGCAACGCCATCAGCCAGCTGATTCCTGCTGACACGAGTTTTATTTTGTTTTTGTTTTTCCCAAGTGCAATAAGAGAGCGAGAGAGAGCACAAATTGGGGTTTGGTTGAGACAGAAATCCGAAAGATGAGAAAACTAACCAGGCTTGTTCTCGTCTGATAGCACAACGAAGGTCAAACTGAAAAAGATATGAACTCTAAAGTGTCCCAGTGTTGTAGATGCATATATATGTGTATGCACCTAGTGGGGCTGACTCAAATCTTTCATTTGGCCTTATGTGTCTGTAATTTGTCCATATCTACATTTAAAATACCAGCATACTAATAAGACTACTGAAACACAGGAATGAACCCAGACAGGTAACAAAGACTGAAGGATCTCAGTGGCAGGAAGTATCAGTAATGGCTCAGTTGTTATCCTTGATAAATCTCATAAAGGGTTTGCTGTTTAAGCTCATGTAGCCTACAGTTGGTGCACAGCTGCAAACTGCTTTGCAACCCGCAGCCTCCCCAATGAATCAGTGTGGAAAAATCAGCAGATTATGTTGATGGCAGCTCGTAATCAAAACATCTTCATCCACCTCAGCATGAAATAAAAAGAATTCATAGTTTGTGTTTGTTTGCAGTCTGTGTGTTTTAATATTTGCATTCATATTTCATCAATGTGTTTGTTGTCTCTGATATCTGCTCTGTACTGCGGTTAAGTCCTGCTTCTTCTATCACTGCCTCCAGCTTTGTGTGTAATCACATGGAATGGTCAAAAGAGGTCCCAGAGGAGAGCTGCGCAGCTAAAGTAAATTACAGCAGATGAAAACGACCACGACAGTAACAATATTCTTCTCAGCATAGTGGTCCCGACTGAAATGCTTTATAAAACAAACAGCAGTTTGGCATATACACAAAGTGACATGGCAATCAGCATTCATTTTCAGGGAACACCAGTACCGTGCACTCGTTTGGCTATGGCTCTGTGGGGGACCTGCAAATGTGTAGGAGGGCTCTGGTCCTCTGGTCTATCATCAGAAATGTTCAGCTTTCAAAAGCAGTCGCCGTTTTAAGGGGGATTAAAAAATGGGGATGCAAGAAGAGGTGGGATGTGCATAAATAAGATTATCATTCTACCACTAGAGGGAGCTGGGCACCCTCAGGATAAACCTCCACCAACAACAGCATTCGTACTGTAAACATACACTGTTTGCACAGTTTTAGCCTGGAAATGATGTACCTGGATCAGCCGTACAGATCTGTTCCACAAATCTCGCTGTGTGTCGTGAGTGTCTGCTGTTCTTTTCCCAAAAATAATAACAAGCTTATTTACGAAGAGCGTTTAAAAACATGCACAGATTGGCTTACAGGAAGAAAAATAAAAGCAGAAAAGGTTTTAACCAGTTTATTAAAAGTGCTGTGAACAAATGAGGAGACCTTCTTTTCCATTTCATGTTTCTCTGCATTGGATAAACTCTTCCTTCGCTCAGGCTACAGACTGCTTTCTACAAGTGTCTACAGTTGGCTTCGGCTAATTTATGACCCAGTTTTCTGCCTCTGGCAGAACTTCAGCAGTAGATACTGGCTACAAATAGAACACTACAGCCAATCTGTTTTCTTTTTCTTATTTTTGGTATTTTTACTGAAGCCCTGAGATAATAACAGAAAGTGTTTGTGTAAGCTGACACTGATGCAAACTGTGTTGGAGGGTTTCTAACACATTGACATTTAGAGGAGCCAGATTGGAATTTCATCTTTCTTCTGTTTTTCATTATTACTATTATTATGTGGGGCAGTTCTACATCCTTCTTTTAACAGTCAGTCGTTGCCTCGATTCTTTGTCCACATCTTCTGAAGTGTCCTTTTGCTTTCATAAAGATAAAAAGTAATTTTGTCGTCTCAGTCAAGACCACTCAGAGAGACTGATTCTTAGACCCTCACCACTCCTTTTTCTTCACCTTTACAAATAAGCGTCCTGCTTAAGTTGCTGTGCCTGACTCTTAATCTGCTATTAATCACTTTTTCTAAATTGACTCTATAATAAGTTCCCAGAAGAGCGTCTGACTTAAAGTCCAGTAAAGAGGGATGAAGGTCGCACTCCTCTCTCTCATGTCAGTTTTGTATTTTAAAAAGATAGAAATTATGATGGTATTGAATTCCTTGTTTTTCTTGTTAGTAATGATTGGCATAAATAACTGATAACGTTTTATAACAGAATTAGGGCTGTGCGATATGACCAAAATCTCATATCCCAATATAAGAATTCTATCGTCCGATAAAGATATAAATCACAAAAATGTAACATTTTCTGTAAATTCTGTGAATCTCGGGCAGCTCGACTCGCGTGAAGTGTTTCCAGCTGGGCGTCGTGTACCTGGAAACGAGTGTTTTAACAGATGCGTGAAACGATGCATTTTTAGACATAAGTTGTAACGGCCGCCGTTTTCTTTGTGAGTATTTATTACACGGCATGCTGCGAGGAAAAGCCTGTTCTAACGTTTGAGTCTAAGGTTTATTTTTTAGCACCTGATGACTCTGTCTTGCTTCTCATCCGTAAATACTCGGCATAATCTTTCACGTGATTCAGTTTATTTTGAAGTCTCAACAGGATCTTGAGCTTTATTGTGAAAGGTTTATGTGGAAAATAAACAAGCGGACATGCGAAGGTTTTACTGTCGTTGTTGCTAACGACAACGCATAAAAACAGGTGCTTGTCCGTCTGTAGTGTGGTTATATTAAATATAAGAGAAAGAGAGAACTTTAAGAAATTAATATAGCCACTACAGTGACCATCAAAACGATGAAAAAATATTGCCGTAAACAGTTTATTTTGCGACACCACGAAACAAACGATAGCGTTTTTATATCGTCATCCGATATATATCGTCATATCGAACAGCCCTAAACAGAATCATTTTTTTAAAAGTTGCTTCAATTGGAATCAGATTTTTTTTTTCCAGCTCATACGATCGAATGGTACCGTGACCTGGTTACAACCATGATAAATGCACCCATGTTCTTTCACCACACTGATGGTGCTTTGTCATTTATCTGCTCTCTCTCACTTTCTCTTTCTAGTTGGTTGATAGCCATTCTGGCCCAGACCAACCCTCTGTTTGGTCCTCAGCTCAAGAATGAAACTATATGGTACCTGCGCTACTTCTGGGAGTAAACAGGGTAAGTTTGCCTGAGCAGGACCTCAGAGGCAATGCTGAGGTTTAAATTTATCATCTTAAATGTTTATATGCTGATTATATTGCTTTATAAGAAAGGCCCAACTCTGAGTACACTCTGTGCCAAAAGTGCTGACAGGAAATTACATGCTTTTGCAGAGCGTGCTTTTGCAGCTAGAAAGTGAAACCAACTAGGCTGTTGGATCGAAACTTAAAGTGTGGTGTGACGTGGAGAACAAGTATATAAATACTTAGGCTTCCGTTTGTGCTTCAGACCTTGGGTTGTGTGTTTTGTGTTCAGGTCTCCATATCCCGGATATGTAAAATAAAGATCATTTTTAAAGTAAAAGGACCACTTCTGAGCTGTGTCTTTTTGGCCGTAAAGAATACAAAAGAACCGGGATTTAATACTTGTTGCCACTGACCCGGATTCTTGTGCGGCTGAGGTGACTAATTTGGACCTTAAGGTACGATCTGATACGAGGTGGACAACAGACCGGTCTAAAAGAGTATAGGTAAGCGCAAGCCTGTTGAAAATTGTGCACATTGGATGAATTCTAAATTAGTTGTCCACCGAATGGATCATTGTTACCGTTAAATGGCTCAGTAGTGGAAATTAAACTTAATTATAAAATCTGTTAAGTAGATTTCAGGTGACATGTCCATGATATGATGACAGAATCTAAGCAAAGTGGGTAACTGGCTCACTGAATGTCAGTCCAACACAAGAAATTGGCATTAGCACCATTTTCCTGTCTCCACTATAAACAGCTACAAATAACTACTTAAAAAATACATTTATTTAGTTATTTATAATGAGATTACCTGTACATAAAACAGAGCATCTTATTAGAATATCTGACCATTTAACATAATAATAGTAATCTCTGCCAGACAGACGTTCAGTCTAAAGACTACTTAAGGTGGCTTTTTTAAGAGGCTGCCCCCACAGCCTAGTATAAGATATATAAGGATTATTTTGAGCATAATCATGCAAAGCTAGTCTAGATGATTCCATGCGTTATCCAAAGGCAGCACGGTGGTGCACAAACATGCATGCTGGGTGTAGTACAGTCCAGGAATAAGTGTGGAACTGGAAATGAGCTTAATAGGTCACTTTTATTTATGTAAAATCTCAAATTGTTTATATAACTGTTTCTTTTCCTCATAATTTTTTGGGGGGTGTCACCTGGTTGTATGTAATGTCCTGTTGTTACCAGAAGGTGGCAGTTGAGGACTGCTCGGATATGATAAGCGACTGTAATTATGCTTGAAATGCCCATCCCTGGTAAAAATTAAATACAGTCTGTACAGTCGCTGCAGAATCACAGATCTTTTTAAGTACACCCACACACTGAACATCACCCTTCAAAACAAAAGCTCACTGCTGATTTTTTATTTTTTTTTTGTCATAAAATGACCATTACTGAGTAAAAACAGTGGCTGTTCATAAATGTTTACTGTGGAAAAAAGACTTTAAGTGTAATCAAATCAATGAATTGGATGAATTACGGGGTAAGAAATACACAGGTTTTTATGTAGAGACCTTTTGCTACATATCACCATGTGCATGTGTCGTATATGTGGACCTTTAAGAGTTTAAATGAATGGTTATTTCATAGCTGTGTGGAATCATTTTATGTTTCAAAGAAAAAAACCAAGCCGTTGCCATAGGCAAACAAATTATTGAGAAGAAACCTGAGAGCTGTTTCGTTTTTCTGTATTTCCTTTTCTGCCACTCATTACCATCAGTTCCTGCGCCTTCATTTGTTCTTCGCAAATTAAAAAAAGAAAAGAGGGAAAAAAGCTCAGTTTTTCAAATTTAGAGCACAGTGGGGGGAAGAAGAGGAAAAAAGCTCACTACTAAACAGCCCCTGGGGACAGAGGTGGCATTCAGGCGTGAATATTTATCAACTCCACGGAAATGTGAGCCGGGTGAAATAGAAAATAAGGGCACTTTTATGAATTTTCAGAGGACATGTTTGCCACACGAGTCCCCTGATGCTTTTGGTCACGCAGCGCTGACAATATTTGAAAGAGGCTGTTCAGGGTGGGGGTATTGTTGGCTACAACAAACACGCTGGTTCGATTCACGCCTTAAGATGACATATTTGTGATTGTGCTGAAATGTTTGCTTTCCTTTCTGTTGCAGGGCTGTTCGATGTGATGCCTCTCATCTTTCCTGTCCTCTGGTTTGCTCGCCTTTAGTTTCGGCATGTCCTCAAACACCCGAGCAGCCTGCAGAATGGGTGGATTCATTTTGTTTTGCCACCTTGTTTTTTGTAACCTTGAGGAATCTTAAGAATAATAAGAGTTAAAAAAAAAAAAAAGCTGAATTCATCCTGTGACTACAGAACAAACCAAGATGAGGAAAGTGAAGCGTAACCACCCCCCCAACCCCCCCACTTGAAATGTGCAATCCTTTAGTTTAGTTCCGTGTACATATTTTCTTTTTGCGTTGCTGCCATCGTCAGCGAGGAACATGGATTTCTGTGTGTATTTATTTTGGCTTGCTGACACTGATCTAAGCCCGGTGTAATCACCTCAGTGTCCGCGAGGTCCTGTTATATAAGTGTTGTTACCCGTGATGTAATGGGGTGTGAGTGTGAGCGCGTGTGCGAGCGTGTGAAGAGTTCATTAATGTGGGCGCTTGGACCGCGGCCACGAGAATCTCCTGAAAGCACGTAAAAAAAAAATGAGAAAAAAAAATAAGCAGAGAGCGATTCCTTCCACTTTGGGGGCACTTCAGCGTGAAACTCCCTCCCACATTCCCTCGTGCTCCGCACCACGGAGGTCCTCGTTGCCATGGTGATCTCATCGCCCAATTCAGCCCCTCTTCACTTGACCCCTTTTGATGAAATCCTGCCCAATTCTCGCCTGCCTGTGTACAGATGTACTGTAGGTTGTACTGTAGGGACGTGTTTTTGGAGCAAAGCTGCAGATAGATTGGGTGTTAACATCTGCTATTTTTAAAATGTACCTTCAAACAACGCTTTCACTGCATTCCTCATTTTAACTTTAGCAAATAAACTCAGACTCTCGAGAGCTTTTAGAAAACAAAGCGATGAAAAAGTGCGTTATTAAAATAAGATGTGAAGAAACCTGCAGCATTGTAACCTCTGATAGGCTGAATATGAGTTTTTTTCTAATTCAAAGGCGAACAATCCCCGTGCATGCATCACTAATTCTTGTTTGGGGAAATAATGACAAGTGCTCTGAATTAATTTTAATATAAGAAGTCTTATCATTGCAGTTATTGGTTATTTATCTTATTTCATCTGCAGTCCCTGCCCTTATAATCGCACACAGAAAAAAAGCATGTACACAATAAAACACCCCCCAAAATTAGTTCATTGCACCTTACCAGCCACTGCTACAATTACACCTCCCCTCTCCAAACCTTGAGCGCCCGTCCTTCCCTCCTCCCTGGAACTCGCCCTCCCTGTCCTCTTCTCTGAAACCGCTTTGCTTCAGCCAAAAAGAATCCAAATCAAAATACAGCTACTTTTTAGAAAGACCAAATTGTGTTCTGTCTTTCCCCCCCCCCCCCTTGCCTTTTTCTGTAGTTGTGGTGGTGGTGGTGTGAGTCTAAAATCGGATGTGTAACAATGTGTGCATTACAGCAGTTTACACATGCAGAGCCCCGTGTCACTGGAGTGCAATTACACTTGATTACACTCTCAAAGTAGCCTTTGCTCACCAGTAAAGTTTGTTGTAGTTGGTATTTAGTTTCTCTGCAAGTAAGCCAGAGTGTGTAAACAAACATCACATGGACTCCCAAGTAGCTCACTTATTCGACAAAGTTTTGGTGACTTTTAACTGCACGTAAAAGACGGGCGTGCCCACGGCGGCGGCGCGCATTGGTTCGTGAACACCTGCTTTTGAAGCAGGTCATCGTCTTTGTTTTTTGAAACTGGACGTGATGAGCACGGGCAGAAATGACTGAGAAACCGAGGAAAACTGCGGCCTCATATTTTTCTTTAGTGGCTTTTTTTCTTTACAAAGGACTGTATTTACAAAAAGTGAACACCATGTTGTATTAAATATAGCTTGCCATCGCCAGTGTGTGAATGTGTGTGTGAATGGGTGAATGACTGAATGTAGTGTGAAGCGCTTTGGGGTCCTTAGGGACTATAAAAGCGCTATACAAATGCAGGCCATTTACCATTTACCATTTTAAATAATACTTCAAATTTTCAAACTGAGACTAGAAACTCCTCAAGAAGGTGTTCGTTAGGGTCACAAGTTAAGGGTCAAAGTAGTCTGTTAGTGCTGGTAAACCATAGACTGGAATATATATATAAAACATAGATGAAACCACCATAACGTCACCCACATGGATGTGAAGACCAGTGTACAAGCCTCAAACGGAGCATTTCAACTGTCAGCAGCATGTGTGACATCACCCAGTGGTTTTTCAAGTCCCAATTTGATGCCTCCAGATGTCCTGGTTGCAAAACAAACGGATGGCATAAAATCGTTAGCCAGTGATCTTCTTTCCATTTTAAAACACGATTCGACACATTACTGAATAAACACATTTTTTATTCGTGTGACCCGAGATGAGTGACTGAGCCCATACACTTCTTTTTAAATAATCAAAAAAATAACACCTAGCCAGTGAAAAGGTGTCCATGCTGTGCAGCTTACTCAGCCTTTTCATCTATTTTACTCTAAATTGGACTATAATTTGCAAGGTGAACATGCTGTATTTTTTTTTTAAAAGCTTGAAACTACTAATTGACACCATAAACTTACAAGATGAAAGAATGCAGGTTCAAGGCATTTCTACACTGGCTTTACTTTCAGACCTAAACCGCCTCCATCTTTTATATGCAGTCTTTTGTCAAAACAACCATGTCTTGTAACTTTGGCACTGTTTTGTCTTTGTGGCAGTTGACTGCATGTGAAGAAAAGCTGAAAATGTCTCTGGTTTTGTCCTGACATCTGAATTCTGTTAGACGTTCTGACCGTACAGTTTTGTTTTGGGTTTGTTTCCTTTGGTTAGGATTACCATAGGAAACAAAGCCATTACATTACAGTATCAATCCCACTCATCATAAAACAAACCACAGTTTGCTTGCAGAGTCAGTCCGTCACTGGACACCAAATGTCATTATTCTCCCATATCCAAGCTAATCGACCTAAAGGAGGGAACCGCTGGGACGTCAGATAACCCGTGTAAAATGTGCAGAGTATGAATGCTCAAAAAAAACATTCAAATTTTCAATTTCATTTCTTTTTCTCATGACTTTTTTTCCTTTTCATTTTTGATAACTGGCTACTGTTCATTTGTTAAATGTTCCTGGCAGCATAGACGAGGATAGATTTTTTTTTTAAGTGTGTTAAGAGTCACCATGGTAACAAACATTCAATAAATCACAAATCGGATTGTTTATGGATTTGGGACCCTGTATGTAACCTTGTATTACTGTGAAGTAAATGCTTGTATGTGAGTGGCACTGTATGTGAAATACTTAATAAAGAACTATGTCTCATAGGATACAATCGCACTCTTCAAGTTATTTATGTTCCATCTGAGCGTTGGCTTTCAGTTGTGGAAGAAACATTTGTAGACACACCGAGAATATACAGGCATGAACTGACTGGTCAAACATACAAACACTGACAGGCAAAGTTAAAGAAATCGTTAAACTGACTACACTTTGTTGCACACTAAGCCACACCCCCATGCAAAACTGTTCACGAATGATTCCTAAATACAAAGAGCCCAAAGTGATGCCCCAGCTTCTAAATTTGCCACGTCATAATCTAACCAAGCATTCAAAGGATACAAAAGTCCCATCCCAAACTAGCACTAACCAAAGAAATTCCATGTCCATGCCCATACAGTCAGGTTTTTTTTGGATTTGCACATTGTTAGGAATGTGATTTTAATCATATTTCAAGTGAGATCATATGCCAAGTAAGTACTGAATGTTTTACTCAATGTTTTGCAAATTAAACTTATCCTTTTCTCTTATAGAGTTTTAGTCTTATTGATGGTACATGATAAGAAACACAGACTGATTCATTTTTAAATGGTGACTTTTTAAAAAAAATTTCTGTGAATACCCAGAACACTGATGGGAAGTTGTAGCAGAATTGTAGATCTACTGTATCGCTGTGTATTTGCGCTAAGAATAAAAATATCATTGAACCTTCCTGGTGTTGACCTTTTTGCAGCATCTCTGTTGATATTTTCCACTATCTCTAAAAGAGACAGAGGTCTATGCTGTGGGGCTGAGCTAGTTTAGGTTACCTTGGTAATCAAGGACAAGGTTGACTCCCTCATGCAAGATTGTCACAACAGAGCAGTAAGATAAGCATGCATGATTTATAGACACTCACCCAAATCTATCAAAAGAAAGTGCATTGCTAAAAAACAAACAAAGAAAACTGAAGAGCTGTTGAACTAGAGAACTCATCAATTAATGTCTTTTTAGGAGAAATGTTAAAAGGAGCCTGAAGAGATGGAGGAGGGCCATATTGGCCTCAACTGGCAGAAGTCACTGACAGGGTAGATGAGAAGAGCTATGACAGGAAGCACCAGGTTCGGATGAGATTTGCCCTGAGATGCTAAAGCCTCTAGACATTATGGGAATGTTTCAGTTGACACACCTCTTTAATGTTAGGTTGTAATCTGGCATTGTGCCTGTGGAGTGGCAGACTGGAGTGGTGATTGCAATTTTCAAAAAGGAGATCCTGAGTGAGTGCTCCAGTTATCGTACTCAGGCTCCCGGCAAAATTTCTTTTAGGGTGCTGGAACGGAGGCCCCAGCTAATGGTGGGACCTCAGATTTAGGACAAGCAATGCAGATTCCAGCCTGGTTCTAAAACAGTTGCCCAGATCTTCACCCTTGCAGAACTTCTGAAGGGAATAGAAGAGAATCTGACCATCCAGTCTACTGGTGCTTTATAGGCACAGAGAAAGCTGACAAGAATGGAGTGAGGGTGAGAGCTGTGTCTGCATCTTTGGTATAAAGTACACCGTGTTTTTAATGGATGTTGAGTTACCGCTTGTCTCTGATCCTGTTTTTGACGTTTATGGACAGAATCTCAAAGTATAGCCAGGCTGAGGAGGGCATCTGCTTTTTGAAGCTCAGTCAAGCATTTCTTCAGTTTGCAGAAGATGTGGTTCTATTGGCTTCATCAGAGAGTTCCCATCAGCATGCACTGCAGTGATCTGCAGCCAAGCATGAAACAACTGGGGTGAGAGGTCAGGGTTCTCCACTGAAAATCTCCTCCTTCTGCTCCTTCTGAGATACAGAACAGAGGAAAAAGAGTTAAAATATCTTGAACTCATTTAGAAGTGATGAGAAGGTGAAGTATGAGTTGGACCAGCAGATTGGTGTAGTGTCAACAGAAATGCACATACCAGTCTGTGGTAGTGAAGAGAGAGCTCGGCTAAAAGACAAAGTTTTGAATTTACCAGTCCATTAACCTCCCAACCCTCTCCTGTGGTTATGAAATCTGGGTGAATACAGCCACAGCTGCTGCATGTCAAAAGAAGCCAGTGGAGGTGGTTTGTGAATCTGGTTAAGAGGCCTCCTTCACTTTGAAGCCACCTTTATCAAATTTGGCTACCACCATCTCAGATTTTGGATTCACCAATGAAAACAACAGCTAATGCAAGCAACTTTGGTTTCGAGGCACAAACACAAATAGCTCCTAATTAGTAACACAAATTTCCAATGCTGTATAGAAAAATACAAAGGAAAGAAATTCACCAATTCAATAAAAACACTGCCAAACATTTTATTTAGCTAAGTTGAAGCACAGCAACCGGCTAGAAGGCTGGCTCCAAGAAACCACGCCTCTTAAGATAACTTTATTGTCGCCTAGACAGACGTCAAGAACGGGTAAATTAAGACTGCAGAGAACTAAAACCTTTTTGTGCTAGGTTGTAAACATATTTGATTTCTGCTGTAAAGTTTATGGAAGTCTATAGAGATTTACTTGTTTTGAAGCAAACAACCAGTGGCCAGTTAAGAAGCTGCAGGTTTTTTGGCACTAAAGCATTAGCCAGCTGGAGATTGCCATCTTTTCCGGAGGCATGGTTGAAAACCCTGCAGACATAAGTAAAATACATAAATTCATTTATTTAAGTATATAAATATTTAGTGTTAAGATTTGGTTACCAAAACACATTCCAGAAGTCAGGTGTTTCAAGCTTATGCTTTGTCTGAACCCTGTTTTTTGCTAGCTAAAACTCAAATCCAGCTTGGGGTGACACTGAATCATAGCTGTACGTTGCTAATGAAACAAGCCAGTGCTGGCAACAGCAAATAACACACTCAGTTATGGGCTCTGTACTTTAAACATAGCAATCTTTGAGAAGAAATAGTAGTTCATTGTCAAAACAATAATGTGTGTTGAATGCAATCACCAAAAAAAAATTTTTATATTAATTATTAAACCAGTATTGGTGTTGTTGTTGAAATACAGAGCCATGGAGACAGCAGTGAGCTAAAGGCTGATGTCATACATTGTGAATTTTACACCTTATTGTGTTTGTATAATGATATACTTTTTACATTGTTATTATTTTACTGTGTCTATAAATCAAAATTTCTTTATCAGAGTAACAAAAAAGGTAGGTGATAGGTAGACATTTAATAAATGAACTTTGAACTCATAGATGACACATCGAGATGTATCAATTGAAACAGAACCATACTAAGTAGAATGCAGTCATGTATAAATACTAAGAAAAAACAGGATTACAACCTTAATATTTTGAAATGTAGCTTAGAATGTGTAACAGAGTGGCAGCAGAAAAGAAACATTCAGAGTTCAGAAAAAAGAAGAAAATCTCATTTCGCATGTGTATAAATATTAATACTTATTATTGAGGGACTACTAAGTAGCAATGTACCTGGAGGGGCAGTTCAGATTGCTGTGCTCGGCTGTGACTATTACTCATATTTCATTGCAATATAAAATTGAAAATATTAATTTATATTTCTCAGCTGAAATTAAATTAATGGTGGGGCAGAACTGCAATTTCACCATGGACATAAATTAATGAGTAAACAATCCTTTAAATCTACACAATCTTTTGAAAACACAGGCGTGTTTTTGGTAAATGATTGACTAATAAGGTGGGTTTTACTTCCCAGTGGTATTTTGGTTGAAAAGGTTAATATTGTTCTTTAAGTGTGTATCTATCTATCTATCTATCTATCTATCTATCTATCTATCTATCTATCTATCTATCTATCGTTGAGAGGGCAACACATATGGGCTTCAACTGGCAGACACAGATAATCACAAACACCACGCAGCTTATCCTCGGTAATATTCATAAAATGTGGTGTAATGCGCTCATGCACCATGACAACCTACTTTCCTCTGAGAGTACATTAAGAATTAACTATCTTTACACAAGCAGCTATATCTGACCTAAATATCGCTGCCTGAACTGTATGGCTGTCTCTGTAATATAAGGCAGCAGCCAGCTTTTGCTATGTCACTGCTATGTAACTGATATAATATAAACATAATTTATCAATATGACATAAAAAATAAACCATGACTGTAAGTATAATGTTGAATTAAATGCAGTTATTAAATGAATATAATGTGTAATCATGTGCAGACTACAAAAGTAAGAATTTCTACGGTAAACCTGGCTTATCAATAGCTGCTCTATACACCCCAGTTTCCTAGGAGGCTGGAATACCGTGTGTAAAATAAACAAACGCAGACTGCAACGACCTGCAGATGAGTTGAAAGATGTTATCTCAACAGCAGCATATTTTGTTCATGTATATGCATGTATAGATGCATCATACATGCCTATCATGAAGCATTAATGGTCACACGCATTCAAGTTCTCCATACCACATGTGCTGCTTGGAGCTATTATTTTAAACAACCTGCAAACCATTGCTCCATGAATCTGCATGTTACAAACCATTGTTTTTGTTTTTGGAAAGTGGTGGTTGTATATCCATAGTAATCAAACAATCTTTTAGTTTTCAAACATTTCAAAATTTATTAATGCTCTTCTTCTGCTGAATTGACTAAATGTTTGCTAAGTGTATCAAATTAGCACAGGAACACAGTTTCTAGCTTGCACATATTTACAGAGTTAAAAATATCTGTTGCCTCTGTTTGTAGTTCAAAGAAAATATTTTTGATAGAAATCTACTGCATACGTTTCTTACATGTTAAGAAATCGTTCTTTATTATTGTGCAAAATGTTTGATCTGATTACAAAATAAATGAATGTTGTTATTGACCATGATGAATATTAATGTTACAGCTTATCGTCTTATGTTTACTGAACACGTTCTGTCAAGTTCGATTATTCTACCTCAGTTGTATCTATATTCACAAACTGGCCTGTCTCTATTTAACTGGTTGTTAATGCGAATATAAAGAACTGGAATTATATGGTACTTTTATTGCTTTACATGGGTTAGAAAAAGACTTGCATCATGGCTGTTCAGTAACAGTAAAGACGTCTTCTCCTCTGTTTGACATGGGGGTATGTAGGTGAAGTGGTCCCAGCGGGGTTCTGCTCTGAAGTCGCCCCAGAGCCCCGCTGAGGTCAGTGGGTTCGTAGCGTGAATCCTCCCGGTGTCCTTAAAGACGGGTCGTATGACCACACCCCTATGACGACACCGTGTCGTAGATCAAACTGTATCCGTTTTCACTCATGGGTGAAGTTATAAAAAGTGAACGAGCGCAAAACCGGCTGGTCTGTCTTTCATAATAAAAGTCTGATCTCACGGGACCCTGGACACAAAATCACTGCTATCATATGATACATTTTCAAACTCGTGATGAAATGTCTTGAGGTTAGAATGAACTCTTTTAGCTTTTACCTGGTATCTGGCTTGTTTGTCATGAGGAAACAACTTAACATATATAACTTATAATAATTCTATTTTCTATCCAAATCAGGAATCATGTTTTTGGCCTTACGGTTTGTATGGATATTCTTTAAAAAAGAATTGTACATTTCTTTTCATATCTTACATTTTGTTACAGTGAACATGTCCCCAGGGGAATCACGGTAGAATGCATGCTTTTAAAATTGTATTTTATGTGTGAAAGAACTTCACTTTGTGTTATTCCGAGGTATGTAATGGGAGAGGATAACAGCTATAGACCTAGCTATAGATAAGCTATAGACCTAACAAATACAATCCTTGAACACAACAGATATGAAGGGATATTAAGGGGAAAAATAGTTATAAAACGTGTATGTACCCCGTTTTTAATTGATTTAATACAAATAGGTATTATTTAAAATGTTGCATTATAAAAAGTATGTCTTTAATATAACCCTAAATTAATAACGTACGTTTCATATCTTATTCTTCAGCGCGACTTTTATTTTGAAAGGCAATCCCAGAAGTGCAGCCCAATCTTTTAGCTCTGACACTCGCTCTTCGGGATTATTCGTAAACTCAAGTGCCCCCCAACCCGCCGATGAGAACTGCAACTGTTTTTTTTTTTTTTTGTTTGTTTGTTTTTTTACAGCTGACACACTTCCCATTTCGATCAGGTCAGTCTCTTTTTCACTACTTGTATGGCTCGCTGAACCCTGAACCTAGTAGCTAACCACAGCGTAGCCAACAGCAACAACAGCGCTGTTACTCAGTGACAGCAAACAGGACACACACTGCACGCGCGGATCCACGCCCTCTATCTCTCTGCTTGTGTTTATATTTCATTCTGAGCCCGTAAAAGTGGTTCTAACCCGCGGAGCCGGCTCCAAAAGTGTCCCCCAGTGTTATTTTGTGAGTCCCGCGGACGGCACCAAGTCAAACACAGAGGGGGGTCTGCTGTACGAGCTCGTAAAAGTTTATTAACGACGGAATTAGCTTCAGAGGAGAGATGAGTGCTTCTGTTTTCCCACCCTCTCATCTCCAAAACGTTAGGTTTCTGCACCAATGAAGGGGAGGGAGAGACAGGAGGAGGAGGAGGACGGGGTAGTGGTGGTGGAGAAGGGGGTGTTTAACAGTCCTACAACCATCTTCTGTCCCGTTTATCCGCCATATAGGCCAGCTCGATACTGCCGTGAACTAACTTCCTGCATGTGGCTGTAGCTTGAACGGGATTTCTGGGCTGAGCGGTCACTGCTGCTGTCCATGCGTGAGCCTCTTCTCCCCCCTCCGTGGATGGTGCGGAGTAATATCATCTGGAGAGGCCGAGGCCGACATTTTACCCCGGTCCGGAGGAGCATTAACTCGGAGGGGACATCCGAGGACACGCGTTAAGGTAAAGCCCGTCTCGCAGCTTTGTGCCTTTGGACAAATACATAAGCATTTACGTAAAGTTTTACGACCGATAATTAACTGACAAAATATTTAAAGCACATATAGAAAAAAATATGACGGCTTTTAACGGTCTTCTGTGATAAAAATGGCTACTTTCACACGGATTTACACACTGTAGCTGCACGATAAAGAACTATACTTTTGAATTTGGAATAATAAATGCACCGCGTTCACAAAAACATCTGGAAATATATGCTTTCCACGTGCGATATACGTAACAAGTTAGCATATATATATATATATGTATATATATATATATATATATATATATATATATATATATAAAAATGTACCAAATTACACTTTTACTACCCCATTTCACGCTACATAACGCATTTATACCGTTTTGTTTATGTTTCCTATATGCGCGGCCAGGCAGCTTTTGCTCCCGGTGTTTATTCTTTGTAATGGCTCAAACTTTACAGTTGCTCGCCGACAAAGCCTACATTTAATGACGGGCATAACTTGCCTCGGCCTGTAACAGCCACCATCAATCGGCAGCAGCACCTGCAGGTGGACCTACAGAAGCCAAAGTTGTTCTGAGATTTATTCAACTTTAATGTAACGAAAGTCCGAGTCGGTGTGGACAGAGAGTGGCCACCTGACCGCAGCTGGGGCCGTTAAAGCGCCGGAGCCCGTCCACAGGCTCTCAAATCGGCCGTATTAACAATTAATATTGGACATCCGGTGGCACTGCCAGCTGCGCCCCATTTTTATTGTCTGTGCGCTGAAAGGATCCCTGTTGTCTCGGCTGGATACTCCGCGAAGCGTGGTGGCTGATTTAGGTAGGAATATTTATTTCTGCGTCATATTGCAGTTTTAAAAAAGTAAACTAAAAATGCATAAAATGTGAATGTGAGGTGTGAAAGAGAAAGGCTGGATGTGGGAGCGCGGCTCTCCAGCTCGCTGTGCCATGCGGGACACGCTGCTGGCTGCCACCATGGCACCTTCCCTTCGTGCTCTGGCTCTTTATGTGCTGCTGCTGTTGTTGTATCCAGCTGTGCGGGGACACAGCACCGTTGTGCCCCGTCAGTTCGAGTCCACCGACCGGGTCAGTGATTAAAAGATTTATTCGGGAATATTGCGGACGCGCACTGGATGGACGGGGAAGACAGGCGAGGGGCGGCAGAAGGGGGCCACTTTTGCTCTCCATCGTTACGGGAAACGGAGCTCCAAGGACACGGAGAGGGGGGGGCGCATCCAGGTCGTTTTGGGTGTTTGTTCTTGTATTTTTTTTCTTTGCAGTTATTAACATGTTTTAATTTTATTGCTGGAGATGCGAAAGATTTTTCCCAGGCAGACCGACCTTTGTCCGCCGCCTAGATTTTTGGAGCTTTAATTTGGCAAATTGGCTTCCCAGACAGACTGACAGCCAGATCGTCTCTCCTCCCCGCTCTCCCGCCTCCTCCTCGCTGTTTTCGGCCACACTCTCTGCTATCACAGCCTCTCACTGGGCTCCTTCTGAATTTACTTTTTTCTCACTTTCAGTCTCTCTCCCTCGTGCGTAACCTCCATTCATTCGTGCAATTTGCCATCAGCCTGGAGTTTTTTTCCCCTGATTATTTCTGAAGAGGCCTCCAGCTGCAAAAGGTTCAGTGTCTGGTCAGACTGCTTTAATTCTGCCTCGTGGTCCAGTGTCAGAATGACTTGCTTCCACTCCCACATTTGTGCGTTATACCCAGCTAGCACTATACTACGTTAATTCTGAAAGTGCAAAACAAGTTTTTATGGAGAAAGTGTGGTAGTATATGGAAAAAAAAATACCATAAATTATCACATGACTGTTTGAAACTTCAAAAATAATAATAATCATAAGAGAAATAGCTGGCACTCCTTAGGCAGGTGCTATACTTATGTCCTTGCTTGCAGACTGTCATGAGGACAGCTGCCACACCATGGACATGTAGTCCTTCCTGTTATACTTTCAGTTAGGTTAGGGGCCAGTTTAAGCAGTTATGTCTAGTTGTTCCATTGCAGTGTTTCATTAATGAACTTCTGAATACTCAAGAACTCTCACTCTCTGGACTTTGAGTTTCATGTGGTGAGATAGTTCACAACTACTGGAGCTCTACAGAAGGCAGAAGGCAAAAAACTGAAATTTTGACTTTTTTTTATTTTTTTTATTTTGGTAATCTTAGTTTAGTTTTTTCCTCTCTCTGTTTTCCAGGTTTCTCTTTTAAAACACCTTTCTGTAAGTATTTAGGACCTCAAAGCTCCAAGAGCCACTTTACAGTAACATCTGCTGTTTTGATTCCAGGCATGAAGCCATTCATTTCAGTTGCATTTTTATTTATATAGTATCAATTCACCACAACTGTCACCTTAAGTCTCTTGACATTGTAAGCTAAAGACCATATAATGCTAGAGAATAAGGACCAACAACCAGATGTGAACAGCGTTTGGTGACATTGGGAAGGAAGAGCTCCCTTTTAACAGGAAGAGACCTCCAGAAGAACAGGCTCAGAGGGGGTCAACCATCTGCAGGAGAGAAATTAGCAGTGGCCACCTGGTAGCATTCACTTTCAACCACCATAAGCTGCTGCTTCTTATAGGCATATGAAAGTATCAGTTGTGGTTGAGCTATGCTCCTGATCTGTTTTAGTTATCTTTTGGAAACAGGCATCGTCAGGGCAGACTCCTCTAACATGCATTTGCGAGATGCTAGCATGCTTTCTGAGAAAAACTAAGACATAAGTGTCATTTTATTTCAGTTTGGACATTACGAAATACATAAAACACTACTGTTCATTGAGCTCCCTCTGCTGCAGTCTCGCTTTCACAGCAGCCAGTTTCGTTCGACAATGGCATTGAAAGGACGATTTCTGAGAGAGTAAATTGGAAAGCCCTCAGATTTCTGTCCAGAGCCTCATTAACCCTCTGATAGTGAAGCTCACCCCCCACACTTACTTTCATTCTTGCAAACAGGGGAGCTGTAACTCTGGTGTCATGGCGATGCTCTTTACCCAAATAAAAACCCCACCACAGGCAAACCGTTTTTAAAACTGCCCGTGTTGGAATACAGTGGGGCTGAAACAATTCATGGATTGGTCACCTAGTTCATCAGCTGAAAATAACCAAGAACTCATTTTGAATTTTAATGTTGTTTTCTTTTTCTTTTTTAGTTTGAAGCAAGAAGTACGTCCTTTTTCCAGCACGTCATTTGAATGACAGTAAATAGACTGGATCTGCATTCTTTATTGTAGCTTGGGTGAAACAATGTGTCAGTTTGGAATGTAGGAAATTGTAAATAAGTTACGTGCCTTTTTTATGACTATTTTCACACACAACAATTGAGAAAACAAATGCCAGATGAATCAATAATAGTGCAACTGTTTGCAGCTTTTGAATGTACTGTAGATTTGTTTTGGAAGGGTACATTATGGCGTGACACAGATTCTTTTGAATACTCTGCCCTGTGTTACATAACAAGCTGTTGCAAGGATATGGGTTCAGTTTTATTTTGCATTTTTCTGTGCCCACACAGTGTTCACCGGATAATTGCTCCAGTGCATTTGTAATAGACTAATAGAAAAGTCAGCTCTAAGTGTACATGGGGTTAGAAATGGCTGCAATTACTGTAAGTTCTGAAGGCATCGAAAGGTCCTCTGTGGCGGGGGATGGCTGGTGGGGGGCCTCCATAACAAGGAAAAGTAAATTTCGTCATGCACCACCTGCACTACATGAACCATTTTCTTACCGCATTGTGAGTGTTAGCATATATATTTACTTTGTCAGTGTGCGTCCAGTGTTGTTACATAAGCCACAGTTGTGCAGGCATCCACTTTGCTTGCGGAGTCTTGTTTACAAAGCGCCAAATGCATCGTTGGCTGAATGTAAAGCCTATGGTTATTGGTTACTGTTGACTTTTTTGTTTCCCCGCTGCCTTGCTGTGAACTCTGTGAGTGTGTTTATGAGCAAAGAGCCCTTTGGACTGTGCCCTATATTTAACCAATGTGCACAAAAGGATTTCTCAGCTGTTATTGCATGAAGCCACCTATATCAGCCATGGTATGAACAAATATAAATACAAGTCTGTTTGGTGTATCTGTTTCATTGTGCAAATTTCCCCTGTAGAGGCAGCAAATAGCTAGAGGAGCGCTGTGTTCATATAAACAAGATTAAAAGAAATGGTAAATAGTACACCATGGACACATTTGCATGTGCGCTTCGCTCCTGTTTGCAGGATATATCAGCACCAATGTCGCATCTGGCAACAGAGGGGAAAGTGGCGTGGTAGCCTACTAAATGCCATTTTGATTTATCGTATTCAAAAGCTTTTTTTTGCTCTGGTAAGTACAGAAATATTCAAAGCTGGCACTCAAACAACTTTATTGTTGGTACAAGTGAACTGCTTCCATAATAATCTACATAGCTTTAACCCTTAGTGCAAACTCCCAGAGCTTCGCGTTTCAAACGGTCCCGCTCTTTGTGCTGTAAACTTTATGATAAATAATGTGTATCTTTTCTTCATTTGTATGAAGCCTGGATTATTATATTTATTCCACCCGTTGGTTATCAGCTTCAGAGGCCTGTTTGTGTCTGATAAGTGTTTGTGTACACAGTATGTTGGTAGCTGGCTTGTCTCATGTGCCAAATACCAGTTTTCCATTTGGCGTGCCAAGGCAGTGTCATAACCGCCCAGCCAATCCTCATTTCCTCATTCTTGTGTGCCTGAGGTCAATCCACAGAGAACGTATTATGGCATTGTTCTCAAACACTGAACCAGGGTCTGTGTGAGCTGCTTTCTTCGACTTTTCCACAGGTACTGAACAGTAGGTCTGCATTGTTCCTGCGGCGTGTGTGTGTGTGTGTGGGTGTTATGTTGCTCGGTATTTCATCATGTTGCCATCTGAAAAGAGCCGGGTGTATTCGGCGCCTGCAGTGTGGCCTCCTCCCTTCTCCTTTAAGGGAGAATCAGAGTTTTGGTTACACAAACATTAATGAATGGAGCAGCTGAAAGCAACGTCAATGCTCAAGTTTACCCGTATGAGGCGGAGCTAAAGAAGCAGTTCTTCAGTGGACCAGTAAGATAGTCCGATGAAAAGCGATTTACTGTGTGTGTTCGTCTGCACCACTGTTGCTCATAAACAATTAAAACACATCAGTGAGTCACAGTGTTGCACTGTGACATGTAGCTTCAACATTATTAACACACTGCAGAGGGTTTTTTGTATCTTTTTTTTAATCTGGCGTGCAATCTGTTCTGCATCTGTTCGTGGCTGAAAATGGTCACCGACAAATGCACCATTTCTTCCTGTTCAATGTGGAATTGGTTGAAATCTGTGAATTTTCCACCCGCCTGTCCTGCACCTCTTGCCTCTCTTCCCTTTCTATTCTAAGCCCCTTCAAACAGACAAGTACACGACACATGCTTCATGGGGCTACAAATAGGTCAATGTTGACTTTTGACTTTATAATTCCTGCGATACTGTATTCAGATATCGGTCCAGTCTTTACTCAAAAAGCTACGCCTTTTATCAGTGACAACGTGCAGATCTGTGAGGTCAGTTGTTTAATTCTGTGTTTAACACACCATCCGTCAGTGTCGGTGGGCCAGTTGTTAGCAGGAGATGTAACATAGTGTGAATGAAATTATCAGCAGAGGGTTAGAACTTTGTAGTATTTCGCATTAGCATCGGTAATAATTTTGCTTGTGCATTACTGTCTAAAAGTCTTGACTCACCCCTCATGTCTTTATATTTTCTTGCAAGAAGCCACACTTTATTTTTTAAAGAGGTCTTGAGCTACAGGTTTGTTTGTTTTTTCTTATACTAATTTTCAGTTCTTGTACCTGTGTGAATCATTCAAACATAAAAAGGCATCTGACTCAAGGGATAAACCAATGTTCTGTTTACACATAACAGACAGTTTGGTGCCAGACAAAAGATCTGGCAGGTGTAAAAACTATCTGCAGCAGATAAACTGAAAGTCATGTCCTTAAGAAATACGAGAAAATCCAGCAAAGACCTGACACAGGAGAGATGCATCTGGTCTTTCTGATAAACCATCGATGTTTACCAAAACCTCATCAGAAGTCTCAGTGGAAGGGAGGTTGTCTTGACAGAGAGAAAACACTGAAGCATGCCAAATTACCCAAGAACTCGACTGAAAATCAGTGGCAACAGGTCTTATAAAGTGAATTTCAAACTTTAAATTTTTGGTTCAGATCGCTATCAATATGTACAGAAGTGGTTAGGAGAGAGGTACAACAGTAAGTCTCTGCAGCCACCTGTAAAACACATTGGAGGCTCTGTCGTGTTTTGGGACTTGCATATCAACCAGTGGTGTTGGGGATCTTGTCATAATTGGTGGAATTATAAATACAAGAAAACACAAACAGATTTTGAGCCACCTTGAAATCTGGAAAGTATCTTATTGGCAATGGAAAATAGGCTGCCCATTCAGTGAAAGAATACCTGGATAGAAAAAAACACATTGGAATACAACAGTTTTGGATTGGCCTCCTCAGAGCCAGGCGTTATTGAAAGAATGTGGGATCATGGTGACAGAGACGTAACAATAGGCAGGAAGCAAAGCCTGCCTACTGGAAGCTGGGAAACTATTCTGCTCCGAGAAATTCTGAAGACTACTTAAAGGAATGACAAGAAACCTTGCCTAAGATTTCAGGCTGTGTTGAAAAATAAACATGGTCATACCAAGTATTAACTTTAAGCTAGTTAGAATTGTACAAACTCCAGTTTTTGCCTTATCTACTGCATTTCCATGTGTTTGCACTGCTAATTTCCCTTTTTTCTAGCTAAATGTAAAAAAATAAAGGGTGGCTCAAGACTTTTGCACAGTACTGTATGTTTGGAGCGGTTGTTCTCAAGTTAGTTGGCATGACTGAAAGTTCTGATTATGATGCTATCCCTGTCAGGCTCTGTGTCTCTTCCTCTTGGGAAGCTTTTATTGCACTCAAAGTTGCAGAGCGTTTTGTCATCAATGCATTTATTATTGTTTCATGTCGACTTTCTTTTGTGATAGCCAGTCTACATGCAGTGTGTGCAGATAGCTGGCCACGGTATCTGTAAGGTACTGAAACTGGAAGAACTGGATGCATATCAACTTTGTACTTTTCACCTGATCTGACTTGAAAAAATGGCAGTTTGTCAAAGTATGTGACCACTTCAATAATATAATGCTGAAACATTATTTAGGGTTTTAAGTAAGGTTACTTGTGATGTTTTTAAAATGTAAAAATAAAACAAAAACTTATTTTTAAAGATTTATATTAATAAAAGAAGGAGTGAATCAGTTGAGCAGTGAAGAGAGCAGACAGAGATGGACTGACTTCTTTCTTTTTTTTTTTGTTTGCTCATGACCTTGGCAGTCATGATACAAGCTAACACAGCTCAATTCAACTTGTCAGCTAAGCTTAACTAGCTTGCTTTGCACATTTTTCACTTAGCTGGACAAGAGCTAATATTTAGCCTTGAGGATATTGACTTCCTCCTGCCCTGCATACTTTAGCCTTTTGATTCCATAGCATACAAAGCATGGAAGCTGTGTTTTATTGACAGTTCAAACTTAACTAGTGCTAATCTTTAGATGATCTATCCAAACTCTTCTCCTTTCCAGCTCATTGATCCTCATCCCACACTGGTCATGTAATGTTTAACAAATGAACATCAAAGTTCTCCTTTAATGCACATAACAGTATAAATAACAAATGCCAGTGAATCACATGAATGCTTTGTCACACAACAGAATTCAACCTTTATCTGGTGCATGAAAGCTTTTGCATTTGCTGTTTTAAACACTCGTTGTTAGCAGAGGTTTCTCAGGAAGTGATATGTCCTACATTTTTGCAGCACCAGCATGTTTTTTTTTCATGTTGAATGAATGGATGTATTAATAGAAAGCTAACCAACTAATGTAAGTAACAATAGCTGCCGCTGTAGAACAGACAAATAAAGAGCTCTGAACTCATTAATGTTTTGCTTTACAAATACAAAATATATAAAAAAAACCACCACAATAAACAAACGAAAGTGAATTTCACAGATTGCCCTTGTGAAATGTTTTCTGTCAAAGAAGCCCATTCATCTAAGAGTGGCACTGTGGATCTGTTATTAAAAAGACACATTTAAAACCTGCATTGTATCATCTGTACCGCTGTCGTCTCCTCCTTTTGTGCCGATCAAACAAACTGAAATCAGTAGCAGCAAACAGACAACTTGTACTGCACGAAGCCAACAAAACAATATAAGGCTTATGTAACACTGTAACATTTTTGTGTTCATATTATGTATTGCATCCCAAGATTTCATTGTCACATTGATTTGCTCCCTTTTTTATTGTTTTCTCCTTCAGGCTGAGAAATCGAGAGCTGCAGAGCTGCGACATGTGAAAAGAGCTCACCCACTTGGCCTACTCACCTCTCAATCTTAGGTAAGTACTTTCTTCCATTTCTCTTTGTCTCCTTTTATCTACCTTCACTTCTATCTTTGTGATGAACTCTTCTTTCCCTCTTTTGTCTCTGCTGGTGACATCTCAATGCTCAGACCGGAACTCAGTTGAGTTTTTCGCTGCTAAACTCACTCACACTCACGTTGGGACTGCGACCTGACAACCTCCTGCCTTGGGCATGCCTCAGGTAAAGTAGGAAAGCTACAGTGGCTCTCACCCATCACCTCTGAATTATCCTACTCCTTGCTTCGGTGTTGGATTTACTCTGTGTCTGTGTGTTTTACCTCCTTTCCAGCCGGGTATGAATGGGATGGAGCCTGCATTTGGCGAGGCCTATGGGGGGCACAGGGGTCTGATGAGCCCCTACCCTCTGGCCATGTCGCCACAGGGAGGCAGGACAGAGTACGACCAGGTAAGACAGCACAACATGGACAGAGCCAAAGCTCACGCAGCTTATAGTGTGACCTCGGGTAGACACTGTATAGTACACACAGATATATTAATAGCTGCCTAATTTGAGTTGGTGAGTCATTGTAGCAATTTAAATGATGTCATTAGTGATTGATCTATTAGTGGACAATACCGTGCTCTTACTTTGAAAGTATATCTTATTGGCTAGCTTGCTGGCTGTCAGTACAGTCACAGTTCAGCTGCTTCCCCAGAGAGGATTTCACCCTGATGTCAGATCCAGATCCAGCATCTGCACCTGGTGATACTACAGGAGGAGGAAACCTGGTTCATGTGTAGCGATGCTCAGCTCACTGAGGCTGCAGAACAGAATAAGCACTGTGATCACCAGCCTATTTGTCTATAAAGTGAAAGACTTGCAGGAGCAGCAGCTGATTATAATGCTCAGTTATAAATTTGCCAACCTGCCAATAATCAATTCTTAATCTCTGGGAAAAAATGTGTTTGTCTTTAAGGACAACAAAATATGACCTGTTTTTTATTTGTAATGTAGATTTTTTTTTTGCTTGCATCTCTACATTTATTGTTCAATCTGTACTATAGTTTTGTGTTTATTTTCTTCAGGAAAATAAACACGGGCCACAGGCTTGATGATGATTGGATCGTGAACCATTTCCAATCCACTTGATCTTTAACCATTACAGCTTTCACTACACCGCACATTAGAGCTATTTCTCAGCTGTATTTAAACACGTGCTTTTATAAGAGCACGGGAAGAAGTCTGGAAAGACTTATCATTAAACAGATGCCCAGGTAAACTGTGCTTTTATGATAAAGCCTATATTATTAGGTTACATACAGCGATGAAGTCATCCTTCCGCTTCAGTGCTGTCACATAATCCTCCTCCTCTGTCTGTGTGTGCATTGATGCATTAAGCTGCTGCATGTCTCTTCTCTTTAATGTCCTATCATGCCTCTATTAGGAATATAATGAGAGCTCAGCAGCAGTAACCGCAGTGGCAGAAGGTCAGGTGGTCAGGCTATGGCAGAGTGGGAAATGTAATTGGGACACGAGACTGTTGTTTGTATTCTGTTTTTGGTTTCTGCTTGAAAAGCCATTAATCCTCTACCACTCTCAATCTTTTTGTATATATATATATATATATACATCGCAAATACAGTTTATTTATTTATTCAGCAATGTTTAAACATCATGCCTCACATGAAAACAAGACCAAATTCTTCACGTGGCATCTCAGTTATCAACAGTCAGTGTATGTGGGCCAGGTGTGAAATAATCCTGACAGGATTACGGCACTGGGGGAGGGTGTGTAATTTTGATTAAGGTTTTTTTTCCCCCCACACAACTCAGTCTGACCTGTTTTAGTAGCAGAAGTAGATTCACAATTTAAAATGCTAGTAAATGCTGTCATTTTACACCAAAATAATCTTTAAAATACTGAATGATTTAAAAGTTTGTTTATTTTTTTGTCACAAATCATATGTTTAAGTGTCATTTATCTCTGTCCCCCTTTTAGAGTGTGCTCCTTATGCTGGGCTCCCCAGCATTGCCAAGGAAACGGCCCTTTGAGTTGCTAAGCGACCTGGTGGACGACGGAGGCTTTGGTGAAGACCTGCACCCAGAGCGCTGGGATGTGTCCGCGCTGGATGAGATGGCTCGTTACACCAAACTGGGCCTCGGGGTCGGAGGGGAGCTGCTGCCCTGCTCCGAGGAGGCTGTGCTGATGGGCTGCTGGGGGAGGAGTCGGGAAGAGCAGGAGGAAGAGGATGAGGAGGAGGAGAGGAGGAGGAACAGACATGCAGTCCCTCCTGGCACCCCGGAAGTCCAGAAAACTGCTTCAGGGAAGGAGGAAGAGGAGGAGGAAGGGTGTATCTCTGTTGCCCGGACAACAGAGCTGTGCGTTTCAGGAAGAGTGACTGAAGGTGGACAGGATGAGGGGGTGTCAAGGGAGCGGACGGTGGAGGTGTATCAGGTGGCCCAAGAGGAAGAGGAAGCAGCAGCAGCTGCAGTAGGACTGGCTCTGGAGCACTGCAGTGAGGAGCACAACTACTCCCTGAGCCAGGGAGGGGAGCTGGGGGCAGGACCTGCTCACAACTCCCAGACAGAGGAGGTGCAGGTGGTGGAGAATCAGCAGGAAGAGCAGGATAGGGAGGACAGCCAGGCCGAGACCAAACTGAAGTTGGAGGATGAGGATGAGGAGCAGGACGAAGACGAGGAAGAAGAGGAGGAAGAGGGAGAGGAAGGAATGGAGGAGACAGTGGTGGAAGCTGAAATTTCGAGCTCCTCGGAAACTGAATGTGGTGAGTTCTGGCTTCAGTGTGTGTGCGTGTGTGTGTGTGATGGCGAGGACATCTCGGCTCATCACAGCGCGGCCAGCAGCCTGTCTGCCCACACACAATCCATTTTGTTCTGCCTCCAGTCCAGACGAGACCTCAAACCGTCTCGTCTGACTTGGTTGGCTGAGCACAGGCACATGTGATACCAAATTTTGCGGGTGTAATTCCCAGACATCACACTGCTTCAGTGACTACAGTGTTACTGTTATAAAATGGCTTTGAGGGCTGAAGTGTCTTTGGGTATTGAAATACCATCTGTAACAGGCGCGCTGCTTTGTTTCTGGGATGGGGTGGGGGTTTAGCTGAGCACGTTAAATAGGGTATGAAAGTTGGTACAGATTGTTAAACAACCATTACAGAAGAACGGGATTTCTAAGCAGCTTCAAAAGCAACATAAACATGCCAGCTACAGACTGCAGCATTCAGCTGGTGGCTCATTAAAAACCATTTTTCTTGCCTCATTATTTCTTTACAGCCCACTTATCTCTCATTCACAAATATCAAAGGTACATAGTACGACTCAAAAGCAGACTTGATCAGTTAATTCTACAACTATTTTGGTAATTGCTTAACTGTAAAGATGCCAAACTATTACAGATTTTTTGCTTCTGTGTTTTATGTAATACAAATAGTAGAAATAGTCTTTGCTTTTCAGACTCTAAATGACAAAAGAAGAACTTTGAAGCTGTCACACGGGTTCTGTGAAATTTGACATTGTTTCATAGTAATGGATTTGTTGCTGTTGTCTTCAGGATGCACAGTTTGTGTGCTAAAAAGCATTCCTACAACGTGTTTCAATGACCAGGACTTTTTGTAATTACTGCTAAAGAAACATTTGTTTTCTATGGCGGATTGAAGTCTCCTGGTCATAGCACCTTTGGGTGCCAGTACTGAGTACCAGAGTTATCATAGATGTGAGCTTTCTAATTAAATATTTTCAGTATTTTTTTTTTAAATTTTCAATTCTAGTTTCAGTTAAACTCTGGCATGAGTTTACTGTTATTGTTGTTGTGTTTGGTTTAGCTTTCATTAGTTTCAGTGTCAGTTTTTGTCTTATTAATTATTACTATATGAAAGCTATTTGTTTGGGACAGAATGTTGAAGTGTTACATTACAGACAGATAATATTTTGAAACTGATTTGAATTAGTTTGTGAGGACACTGTAATGTTTCTGGGGATGTTCAAGCATATTATTAATTATTAATAATTGTAATTATTAATTATTATTAATTTAATTAATTATTAAAGCAAATTATTTGCTAGTTGTTCATTCTGACAACAACGTTTACACTGAGCTCGCTTTAAGAGGATGGAATTAAATATTGGCCTAACAAATATTTTGTTGTTATTATAGGAGCTGTATGAAATTTGTAATCACATTCCTCCTTAATCAAATGTTGTTGAAATGTGTGGCACTTTGAAATATGTGTTTGCGCTCTGTGTGGTGTTGCAAACACACACTACGTCAGATTAGTTTGGCTAATTTTAGCAGTGTTATCAGCAGTAGCCTGACTTTCTTCCATGCTACTGTCCACATCATGATACAAAATATGGTTATATGTAGCTTTGGTTGCTTGGATATATTCCACTTTATTCTGACAAAGCTGACATACAACTGCTCTGTTTTTTTAAACATCAAAGTAATGCAGAACAGAGCCGGCTAGCAAGCCTGTCATCTGTTTACTTTCACCCTCACTCATTTACACCTTCCTTTTTTTTAACATAGATTTCCTACCTGTGTATAGAAAGTGTGCCACATAAATGCATACAGCTAGATAAAGTAGATGTGTGTACAGTAAGATAGTAAAATGGGTAGTAAAAAAATCTAATCTTAGCTCAGTGTGACTTTACTGTCTTTTCTGCACTTTCTCTTCTTCAGTGCACATGCACACCCTCTCTCTCACACACTCTCTCACAGACACAAACACACAATAGATAGGTGATGTGAACAAAATATTCAGTTTGAGCACAATCTGTTTAATTTTTGTAAATGCAATGAAAGTTTACCTGCAAGAGTTGAACCCAAAATAAGAGAGAGATAGAGTGAAGCCAGCAGGGAAAGTCATCAGCTTTTCACTCAGCTTTAAATAAGTTAAGAAAAGTTCCATCCATCCATCCATTCGCTTCCGCTTATCCTTTTCAGGGTCGAGGGGGGCGCTGGAGCCTATCCCACACAGGGACAGACAACCATTCGCACTCACATTCATTCGCACATTCACACCTAGTGACAATTTGGATTATCCAATTAAGTTAAGAAAAGTTATGAAATGAAATTTGCACTTAAACCACAAACTAACAAGCCTGACATTAAAAGCACCTGAACTGCTGCTGGTTGGTGTTAGCTTCTTCCATGCTGTGTTAATATGAAGAGTACACTGGTGCTGTAGAGCACAAAGGTGCCCACCCACTTTTGGAAGGTCTCCCATGAATTCATGAAGTGAATTGCCCTTTCATTTTTTCTATTGACATTTCAGACAATTCCTTTTTTAAAGGTAAAGGTACAAGATAGTGTACATAGATACTTTTAACAACAAAGGAGCTACTGATGCAACAATGCCATACAATTCCCAGAGTCTGCATTGAATGACTTCCAGCCTTCCCAGATTTACTCCTTTTCATTATTCCAGTATTGTACAATATCCATCCACCCCTCCATTTTCTTCAGCTTCATTGATTCAGGATCGTAGTTGGGCTGAACGCTATACCGGCTGTCGGTGAGTACACCCTGGACGGGTCACCAATGTAGCCGACATAGAGAGAGAGAGAGACTATTATTCACACTTACACTCACACCTACTGCCAATTTAGGCTCACCAGTTAACCCATGCATGTGGGAGGAGTCTTACATGCCCCCAGGGCCAATGCAGGAAAGGTCTGTATGGCCTAGTTATGTTACAGTGCTTGGTTCCTGACTGTCTTCACTTTTAAGATTTCTGAAGTTTCATCCTTAATCTTGACACATTTCTATGGCAACCGTAACCTCCACCAGTCAGAGACGTCACTGCTTCAAGGTAGGGTTGTGGGTAGAGTAGTTATTTTCTGCAACATCATGAATGAAATTCTTTTTTTCTTTTCATATTTTTATATTAATATTAATATTTTTATATTTTATTTTTATTCTTTTTATATTCTTTTTAGAAAAAAACTATCACTAGGTCAATATCACTAGGTAAGTCAGCGGTACAAGCTGTTAATCAGCATCCCTATGGAGAATATGAATATGGTTTTTCACTTCTGGAACTTAAGTATTGGGGTCTTTATATCAATACAAGCTATATGTTGTTAAAATACATACTGCCACCAGTTTGCTGCATGACTATGACTGAAATGGATGCAGTGTTGTTGAGTTTAATTTCTGCTGCATAAAACTGAGTAGAATCACTGTGAAAAATTTTAGAACAGCTTCAATATCATCACTGTTTATTGACTTGATGCTGTAAGGCTGTTATTTACTCTCCTGCTGACTGTTTTGATTAGATGAAAGTGAAAGAAAGTCAGCTTTTTAAATGTCACTCTGGTTTGCTCATAAAAAAAGGAGCTTTCATTGTATTTCAGAACTCAACTGAGTATCTCTTATGTAGATGTGGGGATGTTTATTCTGGAGGAAATTTGAAAAAAGCATGGAGGTCTTATTAGGTCAGCACAATATGAATCCTCCCTCCCATATTTGCAACATGTCAGTGTGAGTTTTAGGGCAGCAGTTACCACTGAGACCTCGGTGATATTTTCAATAGGAAATTGCTATATCGCAATTCTGATCACTTTCAGCGATAAACACAGCTGTGATTTTTTTTTTTCATTCTTGCTACTGCACAAAAAGATCTGGTGCCATGACTTTTAAAATCCTGCTTACAATCCAGACACTAAATACCATCAATTGGATTTTCAAAACTAAACAGATGAAAAATTGTTGGGCTCATTCATGGATTGTATGTGCAAAAACAGTGCAAAAAATGAATTCTTGGATTGGCCACAACAAGCAGTCAGTTGTTGCCTGAGTCATGGCTTGCTACATAAAGGCTGATAGAAAGTGTGCTCTGATTCGCATTTCTTTGTCTTTGGCTTCTGAACACTTGTCTATGACGTGTTGCTGCTCTGGAGAAATTTACAGATAGCTTGCTAAAGGTTTTTGTGTTAACAGGTAAAAGATCAGGTTACATTGACATTACAGGGAAGCAAAGGATGCAGAGGTTTAGAGTTGAAAGACTTTGTTTTGTGATAACTAACATTCAAACTAACAGGACTAAACTGGAGGTTTCTAGGCAGTAGTAAAATGTTGTAGTGTAACAATTAGGTACATTGTAGTGGCCTAATCCCTCAGTAATAAACAGATGAAGTCACTGTTTGCTGAGAGCACAGAACATCATCAGAACCCTTTAATGTGAGATGAGTTGTTATTCCCAAACTACAAGCCATGAAACATAAGCATGTATGTTGATAACACCTATGTAAACTGACTTCCATTCAGATTAGCATCTTTTCCCAGGCCTTTTCTGCCTCTAATCGGCTTTGCGTTAGATAAACAAATCTTAGGCTTCTCGTTGCAAGGTAATAGAGAGGTCGGTGGCTCGCTCTCAAAGAGCGAGGTCCAGCTCGTGTTTCAGCTGTCGCAAGACACAATTGTTGGTCCTTTGTTCCTGTGGTGTGTGTTTGTGTGTGTTTGTCCTGTTGAGCTTTTATTACCATTAGCCCACAGCGATAGCAACGGTATAAATGACGGATTGTAAAAATGTGATGTGTACTCGCTAAAATTGATGATGGTTGAGTGAGTTTAGGAAACCAGACAAAAGGCTGAGAAACAGAAAACCATGGAGCAAAAGATCGAGTTGAAGGGGGAGCGCAGACAATGGCGTTATCTGCAGACAGGACCAGACACCATGATGTTACATAAGCTGTCTGTGTCTGTGTGTGTGTATGTGTGGACTGTCCACTCATGAATAAAAGCAAGGGCAGGACTTCACAGTTATCAAGTTCAAATCTGATTTAATCACAGCAGAAACGACTGTGTTCACTGTGACAGCGTCTTCTTTCTGTTTTGGACGTCTGTGCAGCGGGTTCGAAGAAGAGCTTCTTCTCTCCTCCTGCTGGTGGAGCTTTGCACGCTGTATTATTTATGACGCCATTATTCGTGGGTCTGCATGCCTGAGGCTAATCTTCTATGACGTCTTTGTGTGAAACGGCATACGTGCTGGTGGCTTTGTCATGAGGACATACAGCATGTGTTTTTTGGATTGGGGCTCACAGCATGATCTCATAGCGACCAAACATAAACACGAATAGCTGTCAGTTATGATTGGGTTGCATTCGTCATTTCACTTGCTGGGTATTTCTCTTCTAATAAATATTGCATATGTGGCTGTCAGCGTTGTCCACCTCCAAGATTCACTTTCCTCCGGAGCAGTGTGGCCTGGAGCATCAATGCTGGATTTGGATTATCTCGTCAAGCGATTCTGTTGCAACATTTTAACCAGATTACGTTCAATAAATGTTATTTGTATGCTTAAAAAATAATGAAGATTTAATTTTCTCATTGCTATTTTTATCAGATTCTTCCAGCCATTCTGAAGAGCCATGAAAATATTTTCTAATGTGAACTATGGCTTGTGGAGCCGGTGTTGTAGCTGTAGGTTTCTATGACGCTTTACATTTCTGGCATCCTGAACGATTGAATTGAGTAGAGGGTATTTTATCACTGCAGTTTCATATTCATAAGTTAAACACTGCAGCTGTTCTGTGATCACTCAGAGAGTCAGAAGCAACACAATTGCTCTCACACAAAGCGCACGCTCTGCCTGGGTTGTGCTGAATGGTGTTGAGTAAGTATGCCTCACTCTGAGCTCAAGCTCCAGCAGATTATTTTATCTAACTGCTAACCCCTAAATCTTATGACAAAGTAACAGTGTTTTCAACAGTGAGGTGAACTGAAGCATGATTATTACTGCTGCTGTGGGGAAAAAATACACGCAACCTGTAATTACCTTGAACAAAGAACCGCAATGAAAGGGTTGTCTAATGTCATTATTCGGACATCATCTGACACAACGCACAGGTTAAATGTTGATGCATCGCTGAGAGAGAACGGTAGAAGCAACAGTAGGTCTGGCACTTAGCGCTCGGTGCTCAGGCTCTGTGGGGATACAGCTGCTGCGCAGAGAGAGCTGCAGGAATGAGCGAGAACTGTGCTGTTCTTAAATATTTTCCCTAGTTGTAGCTCACCAGAGCGGTGTGAAAGTGTGCACCTTTTCCCAACAAAGAGCCTGATTATCACGTTTGAGATGAACTAAAGCTCATACACTCACTTGCCAATTTATTAGGTGCACGTAACCCTAACAGGTTTCCCTTTCCCTGCCTTCTGCCTGGCACAGATTCTACATTCCTCAGAGATTTTGCTCCCTATTGACATGACACACTGTCACACAGTTGCTTCAGATTTAAGGGCAGCACGTGATGTGAATCTCCCGTTTCACCATGTCCCAAAGGTGCTCTACTGGATTGACTGGCATCTGGAGGCCATCTGAGTACAGTGAACTCATTGTCACATTCAAGAAACCAGTTTGAGATGATTTGAGCGACATTGCACCTTATCCTACTGAAAGCAGCCATTAAAAGTTGTCAGGAGCAATACTCGGGTGGGCTGTGGTGTTTAAGGATGATCGGTTGGTGCTCAGAGGTCTGAAGTGTGCCAGGAAAATATCCCCCACAGCACCACTGACCTGAACTGCTGACACAAAGCAACATGGGTCCATGCTTTCATGCTGTTTATGCCAAGTTCTGACCCTACGAATCTGAATGGTACAACAGAAATCGGGACTCATCAGACCAGGCAACGATTTTTCAGTTTTCTGTTGTTGACACGTGTGATCTTCTGCTGCCGTAGTCTGTCCGCTTCCAGGTTTGGCCTGTTGTGTTTTCAGAGATGCTCTTCTGGATATCTTGGTTGTAACAAGTGATTATTTAACTTACTCTTGTCTTCCTATCAACTCAAAGCAGTCGCATCATTCTCCTCTGACCTCTTGGATCAACAAAGCATTTTGGTCCAGTGAACTGTTGCTAACTGGATCATTTCTGTTTGTCTAACCATTCTCTGTAAACTTTAGAGATGATTGTGAAATACTCAGACCAGTCCACCTGGCACCCACAACCATTACACGCAAAGACACTTTTCTTCATCGGTTTGAACTTCAACATCTCGTCTTGACGATGTCTGGCTAATTAGATATTTACATTAATGAGCAGCTGAACAGTAATCAGTGCTTCCTCCCTTCTATCCTTGTACTGTTAAAATTCTAAGTGATAAAAATTACAAACATTTATGAAAATGCAGGAACCAAAACGATTACTCCGGAGTATTTCTGCTGTGCTTCAAAGTAATGATACCCACTATTCTAGAAAATATAAGCTGTATTATCATGACCCTGTCAGTGTTTAAATAAACTCTTTTTGATGGTTCAGCAGTTGTGCCACTTGTATTTGTACTTACATGTAATTTAGTGCAATGGTATCCAGCCAGAAGATAAGATGTCACAAGATAAAAAGAAACAGAGCAAAAGAGAAACTTGCATTTTATACAGAGCTGACAGGGAAGCCTTGTCAGGACAAAAAGGATTATAGGAAATAATTTCCACCCACTCACATGTCTGTTTGGATGCAGCACCAGGGGGAATTCAAGAAACCGACAAGATGGCTTCCGATCTTTCTGGAGATATAAGTTTTATGAAACACTTTCTTCTTGGCTGCTTTCCTTACTCACTGATTCTTTTCATCAAATATTTTGTTCTTGTGTCTATTCTCTGTCACTTAGTTTGTTTGTTGTTTTAACAGGCAAGCAAGTTGCTTGAAGAACTGCAAGGTTTTTCCCACATGAGTGCCTAAGTCTTTGCATATTTGTCCTTCTAGAGGTGGAAGCAGAGCCAGCCAGGCAGCTGGGCGAGCGACCGTCGAAGCGTCGCTGTTTCTGGGAGTACAGACGTGCTCGGGAGTCAGCCACAAAGAAGAAACTTGGCGGTGACGTCCACTGGTCTCTGTCCTGGAGCTCCAGCACTCTTCCCAGCACGCTGTACCGCCGAGAGGGTGAGAATACAGCATTACTGCGTGATGCTAGTGAATGCTATTTAATGCTGATTGTTTCATACAAAAAATAAATAAATAAAAAAGTCAGAAAAGTTACTAGATTATTAAGTGAAACTGGTTGTTTCTCTGGGGAAGACATTTTTGGAGTGCCGATGACCTAATTATTAAAAAAGATAATTGTCAGATTGATAAGTTAAACCCTAATCAAAGGGCTGGATTGAAGGTTTAGCAGCAGGAGTCATTAACCCAACGTGCACGCTGCAGTTGGGATCGTCCCATTTCCTTTTTCTCCCGTGACACAGATCAGACCTGCACCCTCAGGCGTGTGCCCTACATACAACTTGCATGTCAAAATGTGGATTTTTCAACATTCCCATCGTACGCGAATCTCACGTCAGGCTCAACAATAGCTTTGCTGCAGTGCTGCAGCCCGTGTCGTGCTGTACAAACCAGAATGGCAGTCCTTTAAACTTAGTCCAGTCAAACCACTCAAACAAGAGTCAGCACTGATAACAGTTTACGTGTTGTGTAAATACTCCGTAAATCTATCAAACTATTGGGGTGGATGCTTATTTTAAATCATGTCATTCATTGTACAGTAATTTCTATGTGACATCTCTATGATAGTTCTGTATCATGTCATATACCTCTAATGTAGTCATTTCAGGGGGGAAACAATAGCTCTTGTAGCAAGCTCAGATGATCCACCCACACCATTTGCAAATCTTCTATTTTAAGGGGCTAGCAATTAGTAGAAAGTTGGTTTAAATAGCAATTTAGCAAAGTGCCTTGGGTGCCTAATGTTTATTTCAAACTTTAATCATGCAAAGCTGCTCTAGAAGAGTCCAGTACTAAAAATATAGAGCTGCAAACCATAATACCTCCAAATGAAAGCAGATATTAAAACAAATAGATGCCTTGCCTTGTACCACTGGGAGATTTGGCATCCTGACATTTTAAGGCCAGGTTTGGTAGAGCTGCACTGTTTTTACCTGACCGGACACGTATGGAGTTCATTTTGTTGTCGTTAATTCAGGCAAAAAGGGGCGACGCAAAGCCCGGAAAACAGATGCCAGCGACCTGACGCCGAACCCTCAGAAGCTCCACAACATCGGGGAGCAGCTGCAGAAGCTCAACGCAGCGATCGATGGCATGGGTCCGGTCAACGACCTGCCCGCTGTGGCCCGAGCCCGTTCACGCAAGGAGAAGAACAAGCTGGCCTCCAGGTACAGCATGCTCTTTACTGCCCTCCTACATCCTCTGCACTAAGTGAGAACACTGGAAATGCTCTGTATTGATTTATGAGGCCTGAGTGGGAATTTTTAGAGGGTTTCAGCTTTTGTAATTTGTTGGCAGAAAAGAGAAGCCTGTGGGGCTCTGTGGTCTAGTATCTGCAGTCTTTAGCCCTGTCAAGATTGGTTTTCAAATATGTGCAGCATTTAATAGTTGACCTTCTAAATTCGGGTGGTGGAGGACATGGACGGTGAAGAACACATGGAGACGTGATATCTGTGTGGATTTTAGACCATTAGTTGCATTCATGTGATGGAAAATAAAAGGATCTTGGGAAATGGGTCGTGTTTTTGCTGATTTGAATTTTTCCTTTGATGATGCCGTCATGTCGTTGAACTCTGCAGATCAGCAAGCCTTAAAAGAAACTACCATTTGTAAAATTTCAAACGGGCTTTAATTTACTTAAAATATGTCCCTCAGAATAACACACACACACAACACTGAAGGTCGAAAAGCTTGGTCTTCAGTGTATTTTTGCATTGCCTGTTTCTTTGTAACAAACTTACCTTGGATATTATCTTGACAGAATAAGTGAAGGAAGGACGGAGGGAAGCAGAGGAAAAAACAAGAGAGGCGGGGAGATGGAGGGGAGCAGGATGAAAAGCTGAATACAAGGAAATCAGGCAGGATTGAAGAGGCAGACGAGGAGTAGAGGGAAAGATGGGTCATATAAAGTTCATCTTTGCAGGGAGGGAGGGGGAGATTTCAGAATTCAGGACATTATTGCAGGAGCCTGGGAATATCTTGTAATTCAAAACATACATTAAACACGACGCAAACATGTCATCTAATAGAAAGTTTGGCAAGGACTTACAGAAATAAAGCTGAAAAAGAGACTGAAGGGGAGGGGAGTGAGGGAAATTTAACGTCAGAGGAAGTGTGACTGCGAAGTCACCGAGTACATGTTTTTGTTTAGTATGCAGGAATCTCATGTGAAGATTCACTTCTTTTACTCTGTCATAGCTGTGGCTGCGTGAGTCCAGGTTGGGGTTAGTAGTTGGATTAGCCTGACCGCCTTCAGACCTTCCTTCTCATTCTTTTCCCTGCTCATGTCTGAAATAACCTGCCTGGGGCATTCAGGCGGCACAAAGGAAAAACACTGGGCTGGTTCTTAGCCCTCGCCCAGTTTGGCACAACATTCCAGCCAACACGCTTAGCAATGATAACTGTCCCGGATGCTAACTTACTAACTAGACTCAGCAGGAATACACCATCATTTGGGAAAGTATTGTTTAGCTTCTTCAGTGGTTTCATGGTGTAGTGATTTTGACCAGTTAGAAACCAGAGGAGACACAAATCCATACATCCGCTGAAGTGAGCTCTTTCAAGTAATGAACCAACAAAAAGAAGCTTTATAGCTAACTTCTTCATAATAGACCTATATCACTGCTTTTTTTTTCTTTCTTTCTTTTTAAATAATTTTATTTGTATTTTATCAAAGTCCCTCCAGAAGCCTCTCCACTGTTCTGAATAGTAAATCTGGCTGCTTGTTTCAAGCTCTTATCTAAATACATGTAAAAAAAGAAAAAGGTGTAACGTCTATTTTAGTGGTGTTTTGGGCATATGAAGTGCATCTATAGGATCACCGGTTAAATTGGATTAAATAACAGCAAAATAAATGAAAACTTAAACATTGTTGCCATCTTTGCCAAAAAATAAGATATAAATAGCATTTTTACAGACTAGAAAAATACACAAATATTCACACCAAAAAAAAGGTGAGTGGTAGGTGTTGTATGAACACGAGCAAAAGAAAAGCTCTGGCTCATTCCACCAGAGCACTGAGCAAACATTAAGCTAAGTCATGTTGTAGATAGAGAAAGCTAAAAATAAAATCATACTAGAACTTACCATCATCTTTTCTGCTACTATCTTATTATTATACTGTAACTGTATTTGCTTGCCACTACACAATTGAATGTGAGTGAATTTAATTGAGTTGAATGCAGTTTTATTTGTATAACACCGAATCACGACAGCCAACTCAAAGACACCCCCCCCCCCATGAGCATGCACGGACTTGGGGAAGGTGGGAAGGAAATACTCCTTTTTAAACTTCAGTATGTAATTGGATCGTTGGAAGCAGGGACAGGACAACCTCCATCATACACTGTTAAGAGGTTTTGGGGGGGGTTTGCTATGCATTTCCTGTTATAATAATTTGTTTCACCTAGCTTGCAAGCTAATGTGAAGTTTGAACCTTTGGCCATCAAGTTTATATGAATTAGCTTAAGTTCGGCTGTGTTCAGGAATATAGGACTTGGTGACACCAGAAATAATAGCAAGGCAAGGCAAGGCAAGTTTATTTGTATAGCACAATTCAACAACAAGGTGATTCAAAGTGCTTTACAGAGACATTAGAAACAAGAACAAATAAAAAGCATGATTTAAAATTGAATAAAACAAGCAAATAAACTAACTAACTAATTAACAAACAAACAAACAAACAAACAAACAACAGTATATAAAATCAAAACAGATAAAATCAGAACAGTAGATAAAATCAGTAGTTAAATGTAAGTTTTGAAATTTAAGCTTAAAGTGTGGATTTGGTGCTTTATTCAAATGCAGCTGAGAACAGGTGAGTCTTCAACCTGGATTTGAATAAACTGAGTGTTTCAGCTGATCTGAGGCTTTCTGGGAGTTTGTTCCAGATATAAGGAGCATAAAAGCTGAATGCAGCTTCTCCGTGTCTGGTTCTGACTCTGGGAACTGATAAAAGACCGGATCCGGATGGTTCATACTGGGTCAGGAGGTCATTGATGTATTTTGGTCCTAAACCATTCAGAGCTTTATAGGCCAGCATCAGAACTTTAAAGGCTATCCTCTGACGGACAGGCAGCCAGTGTAAGGACCTCAGAGCTGGACTGATGTGGTCCACTTTTTTAGCAGCAGAATTTCAGGCTGAAGTCCAAGAACTACTTTGGATTTGACACAGTCTGTAGATTTACCCACAGAAGCAAAGTAAATCTTGCAATCTTTGCAACTTTGGCAATCTTTGACATTACAAATGCTGCTCAGTACTCATGTTAAGAAGGTTAATAATCATGTTTCACAGGATGCATAAATTCAGTGCAGAGAATTGCCAACCGTCATCAGATATCATCAGATTGTAGATTTCCTGCCTGATGCATTGTCCACAACACCCTATTGTGGCTGGCCACAGGTTGGCATACACTTCCAGGTTTCTTAAACACAACCATTTGCAGCCCTTTTCCAAACACATGCATGAACCAGAAGCTTTCAACTTGGTGAACACTTTTCCTACCTTCAGGCAGCGACTGATTTTCATTCAGTACATTACTTAAATCAATTTGCAGCTGTAGGTAATCCATCACAATAAACAGCAAGATCTCTCAAGGACTATTTTTGGATTTGCATTAAGAACAGAAACTCTATATCTCTATAATCACATTTCCAAATGTAAAAACCTGTGGTGCATATTGGAACCTGCTCAGTACTTGGTTAAGTCCCATCCCCGCAGTGATTAGGAACATTTAAATTGTTGTACTGTCATCCACATCCTCCTCAAACCATCAGGGACTGTGGTACAAAAAAGAAAAACCTGGCAAGGCTCAAGTCAACATGTGGAGAAACACTGAGGAAATATTCTATCCAGCGCTACTGACCTGCAAGTATTTTCTTTCCCTAAGTTTCATTTAGCTCACTCATAGCTGTATGAAAAGAGAAATTCTTTCCACATTGCAGAAAATAGTCCCCATGAGAGGCATTAATATTTGACACGCATTGATTGTTTTATTCTCAGATCCCTTTTTTCCAACACTCTCAAACCAGAACTGGATTTGCCCTTTTGTGGTGTCAAATGGTCCTTCAGAGGGGTTAAAGAGGTTTTCAATCTTCCTCATGGTTTGGAAATACGGTCAGCGTGAGCCAGCTGACTCAGTAACGGGGTCATGTGGAGAATGGGAATGCTCGCACAAAGTCTAAAGAATGACAGTGTTTTATTTTCCTCTGTTTTCAGGGCCTGCCGGCTGAAAAAGAAGGCCCAGCACGAAGCCAACAAGATCAAGCTGTGGGGGCTCAATCAGGAATATGGTCAGTACTCAGGAAATCACTGGGTATTCTTTAGCAGGGGGTTTCAGATGCCTGACACTTCTGACTTTTCCCTGAACATATAGTCAAAATAGTCATTAAACTCTATACATGCTCTTCTTATAAATGATTGCATCTAGATTTTTATTTTATGTTTATTTTTATATTTCTCTCTTTTTCAAATGGGTGACCCTTCTTGCTGTGGGTGGCTAACAATAATGATATCTGCTTTTTCTTGTGATACAGTCACCTATACAGCAGCACCAAATATCAGCATTATAGTCTAAACATTTAGTCAGTTCCCATCAACCTTTTGGCTTCTCCCAGTAGTGACGGTGTTCAAATAAATTAGAGTAAAGTGAAGTTAAATGGAGGAGAGCAAGAAAATGCAAATCAGCTGCTAATTAATTAAACTGCTGCATTCATTAAAAACCAAAACTCTATCCTGGAGGTTTCCACAAAACCAGTGAGTGGTGTCACATGGGTGTGTCCATCTTTTATATACAGTGTGTGGTCCCACACCTAGTCCTAACTGCTTCAACGTGTGTGTTCAGAAATCTTCTTCTACTGTTCAAGTCAAGTCAAGTCAAGTATTTATTTATTTGTTTGAGTTAGTGTTGCTTCCTCATCAGCTTGCACTAGTCTTGCTTCTCTTCCTTAACCTTTTCTATCAAATAGAAGATAATCTTGGCCTCCTCTATCAGTTGTGTGTGAAAATCTAAGTAGATGAGCAGTTTCTGAGACAAGTTTGTCTCGCACCACAGCTATGTTTAGTTCAAAGACACATAAATCAATTTTCCGTCCCTTGCTCGGTTTGCAGTTTAGGAGTTCGTCTTGATCATGTCGACATGCTTAAATGCTCTGAATTCCTGCCAGGTGATTGGTTGATCAGATCTTTGAATTGTTGAGCCGTTAAACGGGTGAAGCAGTTTTGTATGTACAAAACTTCTAAACATTGTGAGTCTTTTTTCACTTCACGTGAGTTGACTTTAGTAGAGGAAAGAAGTGGGAGAACTGGCTCTGTGGGACAGACTGTTGTAACACTATATATGAGATGGAAGAGCCTTACAATTTAAATTGATAGATGATTGAATGAGTTAATTTATTATACCCAGCGTCAGTTAATGAGAGTAAAACCACATCAGAGGCTGCAGCGTGGCAAGGTGGACATTTTCCTTACTAATGAAATTTAAATCAAGCTAAATTAGTGAGAAACCATCTTTTCAAATAACACTGAAGATGCTCTGTTTAAGAAAACCGGTTAATGCAGAGAACTGATAGTAACAAGACCACGAGGAGCAGGGAAACCCTTGGAAGTGCGACTTCACCTCGCTCCTGATAATCAACACCTCGACTCTGCCAAATCTATCAGCCCAGTTCTGCCCACCTACTCCTCCTCCTCCTCGTCCTACTCTTCGTGCTCCTCGTCTGGTTTTCTATCGATCTCTGTGAATTCCAACCTCACTAGCATCAACTTTCTTTGTCCATTTCTCCTTGATTTTCTCTGAACGTTTCAGTCTTTCCTGATTTTGGCCCAGCATTTGCTCGCAAAGATTTTAGTTGTGGCTTCTGCTTTTGTGATTTTTTGCCTTCTGACTGGCCCAAATACAGAACTTAACCTCACAGATTTCCTTCCTTCCGTTTTTCCTCCTCTGCTCCTGTGTCATTTGTTTTTCTCTTCCATTCACTCGCTTTATATCGCTGCTGTTTGCATCTATACATCTATACAAAACACACTTTTGCATACTTAGCCGCAGATTCAACAGGAAACTTCAAACAAAGAGCACTTTGGTACCATGCCAGTGCTGTGTGAAGCCTCCGGACTTGCTTTGTGTGAATGTGTGTGTGTGTGTGTGTGTGTGTGTGTGTGTGTGTGTGTTACAGCGACTTGGGGAGCAGCTGGTCAGACCCACTGTGGTCCTTCGCCCACACACGCACTCCCTGCTGATATTGATATGAGCCCTGGACAAATCACATCAAGGCGAGAATAATGTACACAGACAGAAGGGGTGTCATGGCACCACTGGGTCACATGACCTGACAGGGGAGGAGCCACTAGCATAGGAGGTGCCGATGATTCACAGCACTACTATCTGAGCTAAACTAAACCGTTTCTGTTTTATAAGCAAACAAAAACACAGATGTTTGGGGAAAATTTTCAAACACTGGAAAGAAGCGGGGCTTACATAAATATACCATTATAATGTTAATATAATAATTCACTCTTAAACCACTTTTGCTAATTATAGATGTAAAACAATCCATTTATTTTTAAATTAAAAACTAAGATTACCTCTTCTATTAATCACATGCCCACCCACTGGCTGGGCTTGCTGCTTACCATCCGCAAACCTCTCCAAGTATAATATTAATAATAAGAAAATACTTTTTATTAAACGTACATTTTCCAAGCCAATTTCAACCCTACATTTTCTGCTTTCCCGTGGGCCCAACCAGCTGCTTCTCTGTGCCACATGTTGTAGCAACCCATCTGCTATTATCTCACAGACCCAAGAAGGATTCCTTTAACAAAAAGCGTGTTTCTTGACTCCAGATGCTTCATATTACTAGTCAGTATCTGTTAGCCACTGAGCAGCTCCACTTGGACAGTTAGGAGTTGAAGATCGAGGGTTGAGTCACAAACTCACTCATCTGACCTTTTGGGCACCACTTTCACTCCTTTAGTTTCAGCTTGATGTTTACTTTCCCTTTCTTTTTCTCTCTGCTTTCTCTTCTGCTTTCTGAAAATAAACATCTGCTTCGTACCGCTGAGGGGAGTTCTGCGAGAGCAGCTTTGCATGATTGGCAGTTCAAAATAGTTCTTATTTATCTCACAGCCTTTCTGTAGCCCCTTCAATTCACCCTATCTCTAAAACAAGCTGTTTCAGCTGCTCTCTCTTTGAGCCAATTTAGTCCCGATTAGCCATCCCTTGCAAACAGAAGGTCAGTATGTTTGACAGCCCTGCACTAAACACTGTAATTTGTCTCATGTAGGCGACTAAAAATGCACGCCTTTGGATTCTGTGGAACTCCACAGCCCTGAATGATATCAGTTATTCTCCCTCGACTTTCAGAAACAGAATTCGACCCCTGGAAACGCTTTCCTGACTCACACTGCTGTTTTTTCCTCTTTTTGCTGCATAGAAAACCTGTTGGGAGCTCTGCTACGGATTAAGGAAGTGATTAGGCGGCGAGTGGAGAGCAGCGAGGAGGAGGACACGGACGAACGAGGGATGACCCAACGGCTCGAAGACATCCTCAGAGAGTCGAGTGGTGAGAAACAGACTAACATTACAGATATGTAATAAGCAGTTTGGATATTTCGTGCTATAAAAACAGGTTTGATTTTGCTTGCGACTTGTCCTTTTCTTTCCATCGCACCTCCTAATTTATCTCCATGGCTACCTCAGGTCCCTTAGTTGCTGGGCGGACCAAAGACTTTGTGCAGAGGATTTTGGCAGCCAGCGCAGGCGGTCAGAACCAACGCAAAGAGCCCCCACAGGACGGGGATGAGGCATCGGGGTAAAACCCCAAAACAGCAGTCCCTTTTCTCTCCGTACCCTCTTCTTCCAACCCCGCCCTCCCAGCACCACCAACTTGTCGAGACCAAGCTCCTCTACACCTCTTCTGCTCTCACGTCGTACACATTTAAGCAAAGAGACGGCAAAGTGGAGAGGCTGGGAACCAAGAGGAGGTGAGGAAGAAGAGGAAGGAGTAGCCTAAACAAAGCGATAGTAAATTGCTACCTTGCTCCTGGTCCTCTCCTGTTGGTCCTCCAAACAGCAGCCGTCTTCACCGCTCTGTCTCTGCAGGCTGCACCACAACCACCAACAGGCCAGAGCTGCTGCTGCTGCTGCTGCTGCTGATGTCTCTGTATTCTGTGTTCTCTGTGTGCGTGCATAAGTGTGTGCGTGTAACATACTGTATGAGCGTGTATAGTGTTCCTCTCTCCCTCTCTGTGCTGTATTTGTACCCCATTGTGCCTATGAATAGACATTGCACTGTTTTGTAGATGGTCGTAGTTGTTGTCAGGGGGCCGTTAGTGAGCTGAGGGCGAGGGGGCATTTGAGGATAAGAGGAAGTTCTAAAAATAAGGAAGTGGGAGGAGCCCAGGCACGGGAAACAAAGAAGAGGGTGTGTTTGTTTTGGTTTGGGGGTTTTTTTTGTTGTTGTTTTTTGTTTGGCTGGGCTCCTATAGAAGCTCTACATACCATTTGAATTGCACCAGCATCTGAAATGAGACCCAATGCCAGACCAGTCAATGGTAACTGATTGAAAAGTCCTCGGAGCTTTAATAGTCACCCATCCCTCTCTGACACCCCCGTCACCCCATCAAAATGTAAGCAGAGATCAAAAGAAAAAAAAAGAAAACAAACTGCACCTTAATTTAAACTGACCAAAGATAAGTGATACTGCTGAACTACTCTGACACCTCTCACCACTTCAGATGCTGCCAGCCATTAACACACCATCCTGTCCTGCTGAGAGAGGGGTGAAGTGACTGATACACTTTTAATTCTTGTCCTATTTACCTGCATGCATCATTCAAAGATGGGCATCACCTGATAGACTTAGATCCTTTTCACGTAAATGCACTACCGTCACGGACCCGAGAGGCCGTGGTGTGGCAGACGGGACTTGACCAAACGCCTTGTCGATTGGTTGGCCGTCTAGCTCTGCAGCCTGGTGCTCCTTTAGCTGATCTGTGGTGGATTTATTTTTTACCCCAAAAAAGGGAAGTGTCCTCGATGCCTGCCCCAAGCCCTCTCCTCAACCCCCTGACCTGATTATGTAGCGCAATTTCCTGACTTGCAATGACAAATAGAGAAAAAAAAACACACACACACACTTGTAGAGCTAGAAAGCAAATAATTTGTTTTTGTTGATTTGATTTTGTTGTTATTTGATGATGCCACAGCCCACAAAGTGGGCGTCAGTCTTGAGAGTTTTGAGAGAGAAAAATCTGCCTTTTTATTTTCTGTTTTTCTTTATTTTTCTGTGGTCTCTGCTAAAGCTGGAGACCAACCTGTCCACACTCTGTAAATGTTGTTGGACGCTAAAAAAATTAATTAAGACCTTTGAATTGCACTGTGGTAAGAGCAACAAAGCACCTTTGAAGAGGGCTTCAAATCCTCCAAAAGAGAGAGGAAAAAAAAGACTCTTGGCACCTTTTTCTAAAGACAGATATTGATTGAGAGACTTGAGGGCACCAAGCGCTTTGCGACCAACTGCTGGTTTGGGCTTGTTTCAGTATGGTGCTACTATATGATGACAGAAAAGTCATGCAAACACATTTGGAGGCATGAGGCAGTAACTGCTGACTGGGTTTTGGCCTGCAAGGACGTACTGTTGTAATAGGCGGTTTGTTTGCATAATGACGCCTTTCTCAAGTGCCTGGAGCTTAAAGCCACAGGGACCTGTGTTATTAAAACCTATTACAAGGTAAAACTTAACTCGTGACTGCTGCGCCAAGCTTGGCATCACTTGACTTTACTTAGAAGAAGAAGAAGGAAAAAAATGCAGGCTCATCTGGGGTCACCAAAAAAAAAAGGTGAAGCAGAATGTTTTCCTTTTAAATTAAGTCTATACATGGAAACCTACATTGTTTTCACGTATATGTTGAAATCTATTTGTGGAAACAATAGTGGGCACTGGTTTCTGTGAACATCATATCTGGGAAATATACATAGGGGAGCGGCTGTTCTCGGAGCAATTCCCTTTTGTTTTTTAACCTTGACAAGCTCCCATCTGGGCTGCATTCCAAAGCTGCTGTTCTACACACTGCCCCCTTTCTATGGAAAAAAAATTGGAAAAACAAGACATTTCCTGTCTCATTCAGGAACGGAGCGGTTCAACTTAAACTCTTCACGTCGTGGATGTCTTGCTTGTTGTCATTTTTTTTAGAAGAGTGAGGGGCAGCTTAGCGTCGCTCCTGCTTTTAGTTTTCTGCTCTGTTCTGGGAAATGTTGCTCATGGTTGTATAAAGCTGTACTGTAAACAGAGGATTCCTGTCGCTCAGCTGGAATGGCCTTCCTTGCTGGGGAACAGAGCATCGAGGCTCTGGTGCCAAAGACGGTCTGAGAATGAAAAGATACCCGATTCAGCTCTAATGTCAATGAGGCGTCCTCAACGTTACCACAGAAACCCGCTCAGGCTTTCATGTGATCATCCGTGAAGAGACGCGTGATCTCGGGGAAGGTCACTGAGTGTAGCTAATGGTGTGCACTTCTACACCCATAACCCCCCCCCCCCCAAAACTCACACTTTCTCCCGGGGGGCTGGGAAGCTGCTGATGCTGCCAGCAGAGTCACGGGATCGTGCGCTGGCAGCAGCTCGTGCAACAACAACAGAAAACATGAGGAAAGAGCAGAGAAACAACTGTGCAGATCGCCGAGCTTTAAAACGCTCTCACACCCATCTGTCACATCAGAGGAGGAGGATGAGGTCTTTGTGTTTAAAGACTACACAAGTTTGTACAGATATTTTCCTTCGTTCAGATCGCTGTTACGTAACACAGCGCACCATCTGCTGTGTACATTCATCTATATGCCAAAAACTGCAAACAGTTGTAACACGGTGAATTCCTGCCTCTGATCCAAACAGAAAAACAGCCGGTTTTACACAAGCGGTGCGCTCATCTAAGGGCCTTAACTGATGCTGTAGCTTGTTGTATTGTGGAATATCCCTTTAACTGTAAAGCTTTAATAGGGAGTGGCCGGTCTTGGCAAGGCCACTTGTTTCTGTTTCTCACATTCCTGATTCAGTTCCTCTGTAGTGTTTCTGTTTGTGTGCACCTGGAAGGAGGAGAGAGAGAAAAGTGAACTGACCCAAAGATGTCAGTCGTGTGGTCACTGTTCACTTTTTCACGGTCAGAACAGGGCGAGCCCGGCCCAGGCTCAGCCGCGGATCTGCTGGGGTTTAACAAACAGCCCAGAACAAACAGTCTCGGCTTACAATTTTGTCCACATCCGACCTAATATAGACAATGACTCTGCAGAAACTGGACGATTCTTATCTGACTGGCTTCCTCGTCGGGTGTCACCATCTGCCAGACGCAGAGAGAAGTAAACAATTGTGAAACTTGCCTGTTGCTCATGTGCACGTGGGCTTTTTCTGAGAAAGTTCTGGAGAAAGGGGGAAGACGTTGAGTGCTCAGCAGTTTAGGGAATGGTGACAGTTGAAAGTAAGGAGCTTCTGCATATGTGGTATACAGAGAGGACACACATCTGAGGCTGTTAATGATTGCTACCAGTGTGGAAATTCCCACTGAAAACGTTACAGGGAGGTTTTAATCTTTTCATCCATTTATCTCAGCAGACTAAGTTTCACGTTTCAAAGCAGTATCGTTGACTGTTGACATTTTAAACGTTAGAGGTGCATTAAATGCTGGCACGGAAGTATGGATACGAAAAGATGCAATATAACTGAGGCAGGTACTTATTAGAACAACAACAAAAACCCCTCTGTGGGCTAATAAAACAGTAAAAGGTCTGTATCTCATACACAGCTGTGCTGTGTGGAGATGCTCTGCTTTTGAAAGACTTCCAGTGGAATTTTGAACTGCAACCAAAACATGAGAAAATGAATTAACAGTAATTCTGGTCATAAAGTGATTTCACAACCGAGATGACCAGACCGTCCCTTTTTCTGGCTGCTGTGAACAGGATTTTATTTCATTGTAAGTTTGTCTGTTATCTTCAGTAACTGTTTAAAATCACGAGATTAACCGATTGTTTTCTTTTTTTACACTCTGACGTTTTTATAGCTGCCTGAGGAAGAAGTTTTAACCTCTGTGTGTGCCATGCTTGTAAAGTGTAGCTTAAATCCTTGAAGCAGCAGTGTTAGGGTGAGAACAATTAGAAGTGGTTGACCTTCCTAAGCTTACACATGGCTGCAGTGGCTTTTTGGACCAGGCATTCAGGCCCTGTGGACCCGCTGGGCTGAATAGACTCATCAGTAAGACTACACCGGTGGGACGCTGCTGACCTCCAAGTGCCCGTCCCCGCTCTGCTCCACTGCTCTCATTGTTGGAAACACTCTGGCTTCTCCAGTTTCAAAGGCAGAGGAGGCCAGGGAAGCGGCACTTAGTCAGGGACCCTGAGTAGTTTATCCGAACCCTTCTAATCCACACCGTCACCTCCACCCTCTGCCACACTCTGATATCTTTCAATCGCCCTGGTGGCCTGCGTCTCGATGCCCCGCTTCCTTTATTGCTGACCTGGAAACTTCCATCTGGAAGGAGCCAGATGGGGTCCAAGTGTCAGTTTCAACCTGCAGGTCCATATTACTTTTCTCCATCAATTAAATTGAAGTGGAAGGAGCTAGATGAGGCTTTGCCAGTCGGTGCCTCATGTGTTATCATTGCATTTAAATCAGAGAGTGGAACATCTGTTTTTAGAACATCTGGCAGTGGTTGTTTAAGGACTCTGACTTTGTATGATTAACAAGGTCCTACTTGTGCACACCATGTTCTGCCAAACCTAGATTGCTTGCAAACTTAATGATAAATTATTGAACATTTTATTCAGACAGCAAGATACCACAACTTCAAGGCTTTAGAGGAACTGCTTGGTGCTTTGGGAAATACTGTTGCTAAAGGTTAAATCGTACCTTATGAGGTTATGTGTGAGGCTTTGGTCTTGTGTTAAAGCAGCGGTTGCAATGTCATCTTAACTAATTTGCTAATCTTTTATATGTCTTTATCAGAGTGGAATTTGAACTCTCGCCATTAACATTTTGGCAGCAGCTCTGTTGTTCTTTTTGGAGCTGTATTTAGGCTAGAGGGTGAAAGCACTGTACTGTCAGCTGAGGCCAGCAAACTATATCAAGAAACCGTTTGGTTACAGTACCCACAAAGAGAATACTGTTAATTAGGTATAAGTGATAAAATATTCAGATTGCAGTCATCAAAACTCAAACACAGACTTGTTGAAAGTCCACACAAGTTAGAAAGTCACATTGTTTGTCAGATAATTCCGTTAAAAAATCCTCAAAGGCACCACCTTTAAAGCCGGGACATGCAGTTCAAGCTGAGGCTTAGCAGGATTCATATGTCCAGCAGAAGCAGTGCGATCGCTGTCCGCTGGCAGTCTGAGAAAGAATCATCTCCCTACACTGAGCTCCGTTTCCAGGTGGAGGACGTGTACAGTCTGGTACAACTGGGAGCTTCTCTTGCTTGTGCTGGTGTTGGTTCGTCAGCCAGCTGTGGAAAACAAAAGTTAGGCTTCCAATGAGCTGAAGGGAAACCAAATGTTAAAAGCAAGAGAAAGTGTCACTGTGCTTTTCATGCTGTAGTTTTTGGATCTTAGACACGTACATCATCCACTTCTGCCGATGTGCTGTCAGGATCTTGGAGGACACCAAAGGAGTGTGTTTGGAGTTGGTGAACCCCGTTTATGCAGACAGACACAGTTAAACAGCTTCTGCTTTAGGAAACAGTCATTGCCTAGAGCTGCCTGTGTCTGCACCTGTCAGTCAAACTGGCCATGGCCAGAAATCCAAATGGGTGAATTGTAGTTGCCGTAAAGTGGGAAATTAGCTGTAAAGACCAAAACTATATATTGTACCAGGCTGTAATCATGTTCATGACAGAAGTTGGGCATTTTAACATGGGAGTCTATGGGAAGTGGCAGTTAGACACGTCTGTGGTGCCTTTGTTCTTCAGCCACAGAAGCTGGTGTTTAATAGAAAAGTCCAAAGGACACTTTCATTTCTGTTAAAAAAGTTATTCTTTTGTACTTTTCAGGGGAAATACAGCTGATGTTTTGGCAGGACAGTAACGTATGCAGTGACCAAAAATGCAGACATTCATATTCATTCTCACAGAGCATTTCGTACTACTAGTGGGTTTTGAAAACCTGCATGGTTGTAGCATCCGATACGTTAACAACGTGCTGCACATGTGTTGATGGCACAGCCGGTGGCAGCTGAGACACACCTCGTGGCTTTAACCAAAACCGAGTCAGTCGTTTCTGTCCAGATTGATGATGAGTCGAAACCAAAGGCCAGTTGTGGATGTGAGCAGTTTAAAAAAACAAAAACAGAAAAACATGTCTCATTAGAAATGAAATAGTACTTTAGTATTCTAGAGAAAAATCCTGTGGAGAGAATAAAGAGTGAACAATCACATCCCTGCTGGTTCTTTAATCTGTCTGAAAACACACTGAAAGATGGGAGGAAAGGAAAACTAAGAGACTAGCAAACATTCCACAATGCCATGTCATATACTGTACAGCAACCCTGTCTCCTCCTCTTCCCTTTCTCTCCCCCTCCCACACCCCCCTGTCTGTCTCTCAGTAATCCAGTAATCACAATACTACAGTAATACTTTGGACCTGTTAACACATTAACTCATCTTTATGTAAGTCAGTACGTAATCCTTAATAATAATCAAAAAAAGAAAAAAAAATACAAGAAGTGCCGTACAAATAGAAGCCTAATATTTTTTGTTTTTGTTTTGTGTGAGTGTACTGTACACCTGTATAATGTATATTTTAATATTTATATGCAGCTGTTGTATTAAAGTATATTTTTAAAATAAAACACGAGTTTGTTCTTTTTATGTTTTGCAATATATCAGGTTAGAAATGAAGCATGTGGTGATATTTCCTGTATTTAATGTAAAACTGTATCTGTGCTAACTTTTGTAAACACTTCAGTTGCTGTTTTTACCCCTTCTTAGTGTGACAGAGACAGTGTTTTCGATTAATGTGCTCTTTATTGTTTCTCTTCATTTCTCTGAGTGGCAGGAGTCAGGATTTGCGTTTCCCTTTAGGGATCCTGAAAGGTTCACAAATACTCAACAGCTCCCCCAGCAGGCCTCACAGGGTTAGAGTGGCAGTTATTAATGTGGGTTTTTACATGATATCATACTGAAAACAAATGTTTAGGAAACATGATATCGTGAAGCAGACAGTTAGAAACAGAAAGACTAACAGTAGTCTGGCTCACATTTCTGTTAGATAAAACCAACGCCTCAGAGATGAGCAGAAATACTGAGGTATATGCCTGCAATCAAAACGTTAGAGATAGAATCAGCAAGGGAGAGCGATACACTGGGAACAGTTTTTATACGTTTTTTTAAAAAGCCATTCAATTTGCAGAAGAAGATGCCCAGAACCAACAGCTTTTGGATGAGTCCAAATCAGCCTACATAGAAAGATTGTGTGAAGGAAAAAAGCAACTGGAATACTTCCAGACAGAAAATTTGGATGCAAACCTAAACAAAATTCACCAAAAAAATTTACTTAAGTAACAGAAAATGATACTGATCCAAAGCATATCAGCTGACAGTGTCTTAAAATGTCCCTTTTATAATCCTAAATCCCCCACCCCCAAATTTAAAGTTACCAGTTTTTACCAGACCCTCTGTTGGCCATAGCATAGAGGCAACTTTCACCACAACTATTTCAGAGATGTCTCGATGCATGCTCAATGATCCAGGTAAGGAAATCCCAAAAATGGGATCTGGATGTAGCAGTTTCAGTAGGAGAAACGTTCGGTCAATCATTGGGTGACTTTGCTCTCTCTTCGAAGAGAAAGGGAATGTCTCAGACGAACAATGGGCTGTGAGGGCAGTTTCTTGATCATTAATATCTGTTTTATATTATTGTGAAGCACTTTGTGGTTTTTATCCTGTGAAGAGTCTTATATAGGTCAATAAAGTAAAAATAAGTTAAGTAGTATGCAAATTGTCATTATCATTGATCAACAACCACGGATCAAAGATCAGTGGTACACTGTTAGACATTTTATTGTATTTTTACATTAACTTACTGGCAACACTATTGCCAGTAAGTTACTGTAATTACTGATCTACAGTATCTTTACTGTTGTGATGTTTTACAGTTCAACCACTTTACTGTAAACATATATTACAGTATAACAGCTTTACTGTAAACGTGGTTTACAGTTAGAAAGACTTACCGTGATTAAGTTTTATAGTATCACTGTACTGCAAATGTGGTTTATGGTATAACACTGTAATTGTGTACAGTATAATTTGTTTAATAATAATAATAATGGATTGGATTTATATAGCGCTTTTCAAGGCACCCAAAGCGCTTTACAATGCCACTATTCATTCACTCTCACATTCACACACTGGTGGAGGCAAGCTACGGTTGTAGCCACAGCTGCCCTGGGGCAGACTGACAGAAGCGAGGCTGCCATATCGCGCCATCGGCCCCTCTGGCCAACACCAGTAGGCAAGTAGGGTAAAGTGTCCTGCCCAGGGACACAACGACCAGGACAGAGAGCCCAGGGATTGAACCGGCGACCTTCCGGTTACAGATGCGATTCCCAACCCCCTGAGCCACGGTCGCCCGTTTAGACTGTAATTGTGTTTTACAGCATATAAAATAATATTAACATTCATATTCAATATAAGAACATTTACAAAAAACAATATAATTCAATAAAGTAGTCTCAGAATAGTGAATTAAACCAACATTTATTGTTGATATTTTTTTAACAAGAAAAACATTTTTCAACTGAATAAAAACAATGTCAATAACCAAAATAAATAGAAGCGTACATGAAAACTACACAGTCCTTCACCTTTCTGTGTCTGATTTTTTTAAGGAAAACAGTTTTTCATTCCACTAAAAACAGGACAAACCCACCAGCATGAACATTAAATAAACTATTACAATTGTAAAACAAAAATCATTTACAAAATGTAATAAGATAAGATAAGATAAGATAACCTTTATTAGTCCCACACGTGGGAAATTTGTTTTGTCACAGCAGGAAGTGGACAGTGCAAAAGTTATGACGCAAAAATTAGAATACAATAAGAATAAATACAGTACACAACTGTACAGAATAGAATAAAATAATATACTATATACAGTAGAATAAAATAGAATAAAAATATACAATAAGATAAAAATAGAATACGAATGCTATATACAACTGAGTAAAAATACAACGATGCCAGACACACTGGACCCACTACAGTTCGCTTACCGTCCAAATCGTTCCACAGACGATGCCATCTCTCATCTCCTCCACACATCACTCACTCACTTGGACACTAGAAGGGGGAATTATGTTAAAATGCTCTTCATAGACTACAGCTCTGCATTTAACACCATAATTCCCTCCACACTCACCACCAAGCTGGAGCATCTGGGACTCAGCTCATCTATGTGTCTGTGGATCTCCAACTTCCTAACTGGCAGACCACAGGCAGTAAGGATGGGCGGACATGTCTCAGCCTCCACCACTCTCAGCACTGGAGCCCCCCAGGGGTGTGTTCTGAGCCCCCTGCTGTACTCTTTGTACACATATGACTGTGTGGCCACTACCAGCTCCACCACCATCATCAAGTTTGCTGACGACACCGTCGTGGTGGGCCTGATCTCTGATAACAAAGAGACGGCCTACCTGAAGGAGATTAGGAATCTGGAGAACTGGTGCCAGAGGAACAACCTCCTTCTAAACGTCAGTAAGACAAAGGAGCTGATAGTGGACTTCAGCACTAAGCAGGAGAGGAACTACCAGACCCCCGTCATCAACGAGTGCCCAGTGGAGAGTGGACAGCTTCAAATACCTCGGAGTTCACATCACGCAGGACCTGTCATGGTCCTGTCACATCAACACCGTGGTGAAAAAGGCCCGACAGCGTCTCTACCACCTCAGACGCTTGAGAGACTTCCAACTGCGCTCCAAGGTGCTCAGGAACTTTTACTCGTGCACCATAGAGAGCATCCTGGCGGGAAACATCTTAACCTGGTTCGGGAACAGCACCATGCAGGACAGACGAGCTCTACAGAGGGTTGTGCGGTCAGCTGAGCGCACCATCCGCTCCGAGCTCCCTGACCTGCACTCAATCTACAGCAGGCGGTGCTGGACCAAGGCCAGGAAGATCGTGAAGGACCTCAGCCATCCCAACAACAGACTGTTCTCTCTGTTGAGGTCAGGAAAGCGATTCCGCTCCCTGAAGACCAACACAGAGAGACTGAGGAGGAGCTTCTTCCCGCAGGCGATACGGTCTCTCAATCACACCACCACAGTACTGACCCACACATATGGTTCTTACACACACACTGGACTTTCTGGACTTTGGTTTTGCACAACACTGGTCACTATATTCTTCATTTCCGGTTAATACTTGTACAGCTGCTGTTATTGTGTATATATTTATTTATATTTAGATTCCTTCATACATTCTTATATAGTTCTATATTGTGTATTGTGTATTTTGTTGTACAGTTATTTTATTTTCAACTTTAATTTATATATTTATCTTATTCTTCCCAGTTAAATTTACCCTTCATTCTAATTTGTGTTGTACAGTTATTTCATTTTTAACCTTAATTTATATTTTATTCCTTCCTAGTTAAATATACCCTTTTTAATTTTTCATATTTATTTCCTATCTTATTCATAGCCTTTTCCTTTTTTGTTCTCTTTAGGTCACGAGCAGTTGTCCAAGCATTTCACTACATATCGTACTGTGTATGACTGTGTACGTGACAAATAAAATTTGAATTTGAATTTGATTTGAAAAGATTATTGCACTTAGTGTTATTGCACATGTGTGGATGTGTGTGTTTGTTCAGTTAAAGTCTTTGTTGTGGAGTCTGACAGCAGTGGGGAGGAAAGACCTGCGAAATCTCTCCGTCCCACACCGTGGGTGCCGCAGTCTCCCACTGAAGGAGCTGCTCAGTGCTGTCACAGTCTGCTGCATGGGGTGGGAGACGTTGTCCAACAGGGATGACAGCTTAGCCGCCATTCTCCTGTCACTCACCACCTCCACTGGGTCCAGAGGGCATCCTAGAACAGAGCTGGCCCTTCGGATCACCCTGTTCAGTCTCTTCCTGTCCCCAGCAGAGATGCTGCCGCCCCAGCAGACCACGCCATAAAAGATAGCAGAAGCCACCACAGAGTCATAGAAGGTCTTCAGGAGTGGGCCCTCCACCCCAAACGACCTGAGTCTCCGCAGCAGGTACAACCTGCTCTGCCCTTTCCTGTAGAGGGCGTCTGAGTTATGAGTCCAGTCCAGTCTGTTGTTCAGATGAACACCAAGGTACCTGTAGCTGTCCACAGCCTCAATGTCCATACCCTGGATGTTCAGTGGTTGCAGTGGAGAATGCTTGTGCCTGCGGAAGTCTACCACCAGCTCCTTGGTTTTACTGGCGTTGATCTGGAGGTAGTTCAGCTGGCACCAGTCCACAAAGTCTTGAGTCAGTCCTCTGTACTCCTTGTCGTCCCCATCAGTGATGAGGCCGACTATTGCAGAGTCATCAGAGAACTTCTGCAGGAAGCACTGGGTGGAATTGTGGGAGAAGTCTGCAGTGTAGATGGTGAAGAGGAACGGAGCCAGAACCGTTCCCTGTGGGGCCCCCGTACTGCAGACGACCCTGTCCGACACACAGCCCTGAGTCCTCACATACTGTGGTCGGTCGGTGAGGTAGTCCAGGATCCAGGTAGTGAGGTGATGGTCCACTCCAGAGTTCTCCAGCTTGTCCTTCAGAACCGAGGGAAGAATAGTGTTGAAGGCACTGGAGAAATCAAAGAACATGATTCTCACAGTG